CTATCACTTTTGTAGAGTTATGGTGACTGAACCTATGTAAAGTCGTTACATCGATTTAATGGCAAATATAAATTATAGCATTGTATATTTGTAATGCTGTTGTTTTTAACTGTACGGATCTTCTTCAGTTACTCTGCAGAAAATATGGTAAAGGTTTTTGTTTAAGCAATAAATGGCTTTTTTAAATGAACATAGAAAATTGTAAAGGTTTTCTTTCATTGCGAATTTATTGTCCTGTGCAATTTATTCATTTATTATGGGATTTAACTTGCTTATCCGTAATTGAGATTATTTGATATAACTCGCACGTGCAGATACCACGTGCTACATTTGTACTGGGCTGGGAGATGTGCACGTTCTCATAGAACGTGCCCTGTTTAATGAAGTTGAAGACGTTACTGTTTGGTATAATTCATTTTGAAGCTACGGTTTTATATGTAGACGAAACGATATTTTTTGTAAAATACAATTATTAACAATGCAAATCAATATGAAATATGAGCCGCGTCACGACAAAACCAACATAATGGGTTTGCGACCAGCATGGATCCAGACCAGCCTGCGCATCCGCGCAGTCTGATCAGGACCCATGCTGTTCGCTTACAAACCCTATAGCAAGTAGAGAAACTGATAGCGAACAGCATGGATCCTGATCAGACTGCGCGTAAGCGCAGGCTGGTCTGAATCCATGCTGGTCGCAAAGGCACTATGTTGGTTTTGTCGTGACATGGCTCAATTTATTTCCATTGATGGCAGGACTTGATAGCAGTGTAATTACTGAGGCTAACATTAATTGTATCTAGTTAAGAAAGAACGAACTATATACTACACTGTATTCAGTTCTGCAGAAACTAATTCTTATTGACTGGCTAAAACACAGAATATTTACGAATGCCCTGTGCAATGAAAATACTCATGCATTTTCATAATTAAATTGTTTTGTTTTTATGTTCATTTTGCGACTTGTGGTCAAGAAATTTTTTTTTATTTGAGTAAGCCGTCATAATGCATTACCGAACCTTTTTTTTTACAGCATTGAAATAATACTATAAACAGAAACGGAAATGGCTTAGAGTTCGGATACATACGGTCAATCAATACGATCTCTTGTACTTTCCTCATATACCACACGAGCGTATAAACTCTAATCAATTCTCCGTGATCTACCAGAGATTAATGAAGTACCGAATTGTAGATTTATACCTATCTGAGGGTTTGATCACACAATGTGATCATGCAAGCAATGAAATTATTTTACTGGGATACTTTGTCTTCCTAACCTTAACTTGGCTAAAGTCATACTGTACGTATTTTCAGTTTTTCTTCATATCTGACCTTTACACGGAATCAACCTAACTTTTGTTTAAAATACTCGCCAATTGTTTCCAGATCATCTTCGTCAAGTTTACTCGTTGTCAAGCAATAGAGGGCCAGCTTAAAGACCATAGCAACTAGTGGAAGCTTCCTACATCTCGTTATCTAACAGTTCTTGATAATGTCGTTTCAGTATATATTTGCTGAAATGTAATATTTTCAGAATGACATCTCCGTAAAAAAGGCATAATAAAATTTGGCATTGTTCAGGGTAGCGCTTTTTAAATTGTTGTCTACGAAACAGATGGAGACTATATAGCTGGGGGTGTTAGTTGCACATGTAAATGTGATATTGCAGCAAGAATTGATTAACGTACATTCGATATGGTAGAATATGTAAAGAAATATTACTTCGCTTTGACGGAAAGTTCTTGCACTTGTTCCACTTTTTAAAGACTATTTCGTGCTTTAAATGCACGCATTATCCAGCAAATGGTAATTAAATCTCTTTTAATTTTCAAAACATTCACTTACACGTAGCCCTTGGCTAAATTCACAGTAGGTTGAAAAGAAATGAGATAATTCCGTCTCATTTTCAGTATCAGCGCTTCAAAAGATTGCTCGAATTTCTCAACAATTTAATACTACAAATTTTAACATGCGTGGCAAAATCGTAGACTGGTTCTCACAGACCAGAGCGCGTGGCAGACGATATTTATCATGCGTAACTTTGTACAAGTTTTCTACCACTAACACACAAAATAAATTAAGTTTTCTCAATGAATGAGCTGCCACTTATATTTTCAGTTCATGTTATATTTTGAAGTTATACCATATTCAAGTACATGTATTGTACACTCTAATTTGGACCACAAACACAGCACAAAAAGGAAAGCATGCAGTTATCTTTTATGATTAATTGTCCTAGAAACTCTATTGGATATCAAAAACAATAACTTTTGCGCATACCAAGAATTGGCGAGATTAAAATCGATTGCATTTCTCACAATAAGATACGGCCAGATAGTTTACTCTTACTTAACAACGCATTAGTAAGGCTATCTGTACATGTATCTTTTTAGGTAGTCATTTCAAACAGAATAATGTTTGATAGATCTTTAGGAGTGGCCATTCCTAATAGAATTATGTTAAACATGTTTTCCAAAAATCATTGTAAGTGGATATGTGTAAAAGAATTACAAAATGTATGTCTTCGACAGACCTTTAGTAGTGGCCGTTTTTTTTTATAAAATTATATTCAAAAAGATCTTTCTAGGTGGTCATTTCTTACAAATTATATCAAACAAGCAAATTCGTTGAATTTATATCCCCCGCCGAGTACTGGTTATTACTAACACAACAACTGAAGACATAAGGCTTTATTTATATATTAATCATGGCATAAACAGTAATATTCTTTGCACTTGATAAATTTTCAGGGCAATAACAGAGCCATAACTCTGTCTTAAATAGTAATATCTGAAAATGCCAATGAGATGTATGCATACTGCATAACTAATCAAGGGCCACAAATCTGAGTTATAAGTATCTGACCGGAACAAGGCGACTATATGCACATCTCCTCTTAGTATCCCATAAAGTTTCATTGAATTCCAGCAAGTAGTTACAGAGAAGTAGCACGGAAACGATTATTGCTCTGGTTGTATACTGCATAAGTTATCAAGGGCCATAACTCTAAGTTAAAATGTCTGACCCGAACAAGGCGACAATATGCGCATCTCCTCTTGGTATTGAAGGTTCCAATAAAGTTTCATTGAATTCCAGCCCGTAGTTGCAGATAAGGAGCGAGGAAACAAATATTGTTCTATATGCATACTGCATAACTTATCAAGGGCCATAACTCTGACTTAAAATGTCTGACCCCAACAAGGCAATGATATGCGCATCTTCTCTTGGAATTGAAGGTTCCCATAAAGTTTCATTGAATTCCAGCCAGTAGTTGCAGAGAAGTAACGCGGTAACGATTTTTGCTCTATATGCATACTGCATAACTAATCAAGGGCCATAACTCTGAGTTTAAGTGTCTGACCGGAACAAGGCGACGATATGCGCATCTCCTCTTGGTATTGAAGGTTAATTCCCATAAAGTTTCGTTGAATTCCAGCCAGTAATTGCAGAGAAGTAGCGCGGAAACGATTTTTCTCTATATGCATACTGCATAACTAATCAAGGGCAATTACTCTGAGTTAAAGTGTCTGACCGGAACAAGGCAACGATATGCGCATCTCCTCTTGGTATTGAAGATTCCCATAAATTTTCGTTGAATTCCAGCCAGTAGTTGCAGAGAAGTAGCGCGGAAACGATTTTTACTCTATATGCATACTGCATAACTAATCAAGGGCAATAACTCTGAGTTAAAGTGTCTGACCGGAACATGCCGACGATATGCGCATCTCCTCTTGGTATTGAAACTTCCCATAAAGTTTCGTTGAATTCCAGCCAGCAGTTGCAGAGAAGTAGTGCGGAAACGATTTTTCCTCTTTATGCATACTACATAACTAATCAAGGGCCATAACTCTGAGTTAAAGGGTCTGACCGGAACAAGCCGACGATTCGGCATCTCCTCTTGATATTGATGATTCCCATAAAGTTTCGTTGAATTCCAGCCAGTAGTTGCAGAGAACTAGTCCGGAAACGAAATTCGGACGGACGAATGGACGGACAGAAGGACGGACGGACAACGCCAAAACAATATCCCCCTCCCGATTCCATCGGCGTGGGATAACAAAACATAGATAGACCTTTTTAAGTTGTCAGTTCTTCTTATAGAATTATGTTAAACAAGACTTCGAGAGATCTTTTCCGGTTCGTCATTTCAGAAAGAATTATATTAAACAAGATTCATATAGATCATTTCATGGTCATTTCTTACCAAGACTTCGATAGGTCTTAATAGGTAGCCATTTCTTATAAAATAATGTTCAACAAGACTTCGATTGATCTTTATAAGTGGAAATTTCATATAGAATTTAAAAAAACAACAAAAAAAACAAGACTTTATTAGATCTTAGTGATCATTTGATTGTTTTTATAAGTGGTCATTTCTTCTAGAATGATTTTAAACAAGACTTCGACAGATCTTTATAAGTAGTCTTTATAGAATTATAGCTAGCAAAACCCCAATATGTCTATGTAATGGTCATTTTCTATAGGAAAATCATAAATCTATATGAAACATAAGCCAATGATGGCATAACAGTATAATGTAAAGTAACAAACTGGACACATCTCTATGCAATACCAATACATGACAATATAGAAGGCATTGATGGCAAACTCTTTCTAAAGAAATGCCAGAACAGAGGTACAGGGCGAATAACCGTAGAAAAGATTTCATGATTAATCACAACGAAAGTGACCTGCACCGTCCGGGAATCGAACCCGGGTTGTCCGATTCACAGTCCAACGCTCTACCTATTGAGCTTACTGTACGGTTATCCTTTATAGAAAACGTGAGGGTTGGCCTTAAGGTTCTTGATTACTGGTTAAAATATATTGAAAATAAGCGACATAATGTTATTTTTCATTATAATACATAATGTTATTTTTCATTATAATAATGATTTAACTCAGTGTGAAAATAAAGTTGTAACAACAATTTGTCATGGTTTTTGTTTAAAGATCCAATATCTACAGGAAAAATAAGAAGAAACACAAGAAACACATATGTTTTGCTTGCTATGTAATTATATAAACAACACTTTTCAATTTGTCATTTTAGCATTTAATTACATAATACAAGTTTCATTTCAACAGATCCAATTGTGATTCTGCCTTGGTCTTAACACAGTCTCTTGAAAACTTTTAATTTGCTCATAACAAATTTGTAATAGCAAATAACAGTATGTCTATCACGCATAAATTCTCTTCAACAAACATCATAAAATATACAAAGATATTTTTAACATGCAATAACAGAAAAAAATACAGTGTAACAGCACGATTTATGTGCGTCGGCTTTTCTTTCGAGAAATAAAAAATAATTAAAAGACAAAATCAATTATTAACAACAAGTGGTGTGTGACACTGCTCCAAATTGAATACCAGCAATTATTTACCTATATCTGCTCAACACTGCTGATTCAAAACAAGACTATATACTATCCTTAACAAATTTGCAAAATGCAAAAATTCAATAACAATCAGTGTCGAACGTCGGCAACAACACGAGATAACTGTGCATGATTTAAACACCGCATACTAACTTTAAACTAATATCTTATAATTAGCACTGACAATCAAAGTAATAACATTTTTAATAAAATCTTGTTGTTTTTTTTTTTTAAACTGAATTCATATAATATAGGGAAAAAATGATATGCAAAAAATCTACATAATTATATGATTTTATAGATATTTTAGAGTTTTGTTCAAATCGATAATTGATTAACAAAAAGAGTTATTCGATTGATAACATTGAAACATTACTTGTATTTATTAATTTAATTATTTTGGTTTGTCAAAGCGTTGACAATTTAATACCGGTGTGAACAATGTTATAAAATCGGTATTGTTTGTAGTATTATACATGTATACCTGCAAAGAATTAATCGCAACTACTTTATTCAAATATAGGTACAATGATTTTTTATCAAAATATATATTAAATGATCTTAAAAAAACTCAAAAAAGCAATATAAAAACAGTAGTGTACTTTGAATACCGAGTTAATACATGTATACAAATAACTGTACTGCACTTCGTTATATGCAGTAAGATTAAAATGTGACTGTTGCATCGGCCACTTATAACAATATTTATAAATCTTGAAATGTAACAAAATCTAACGTGTCATAACAAGGGGGTATTATCACTTTTTAAAACAATGAAACGTTTTTAACATTAAATTTTAACATTATTTACAGTATTAGCCTAGTTAAATAAATCCCTTTAAAAAAACTGGGGGAGAAAAGCCCCGTTGCTTAATGTAGCCGTGACATACAATACAGCTGCAAATCTTAACAAAAACTAAGAAAAAACTCATTGCTCATTACATTAAGAAGCTATTGCCTCGACTTAAACACCAGCAAAATCTTGTGAGAAAATGTCCCACTGCTTTACAACGGCTATATTAGTTTCAACACTGAATAATACATGAACTTGAACACACATCAGTAACAACTGGCGTGTTAACATTAAATACACATTTACATGTAGATCTAGCTGATAGTAGTATTATGCTACGTTGGTATATAAATATATATTTATATTTTTGAATTTATACAGGTGTAATTATTTGACTACTGGAATGAAGTCAATTTCCAACAGGCAGTTTCATTTCTTAACAAGTGTCACTTAACAAGGATCAAATTATAAATTGATTAAAAAAACGAAACAAAAATATCATTTAAATCTACAGTTGAAGTACTGTTTACAAGTAGGTCTAATTTAGGAAAGATCATAACATTCAAATGTAAAATTATACAGTAATAAAACATGTGACAGTAATATACAAAACATATTTGACACAATCATGAACAACGAAATACAACACGTTTTATTTTTCAACATCACCGAATAAAAAAATAGCACTTTCATAAGGTATCAAAGATGGTGAACAAAAATGAAAATGTAAAGGCATCCGACATTTTTTGGGAGGAAAAGACTTCATTTTCAAAAAAACAAACACCATACTGTCGAGCTACTAAATGTAATCATATTGAACATTTTTCACGAATTATATAAATTCAAACAAACAATCAATATAAACATGTACATAAATTTAACAAGTTGTAGATATAAACTTCAGATCTTTATTTTTAACCCTTACACCGCTTTAAAATACCTTAAATGGACACAATCATTCACCATTACTTAGTAGCAGACAGTGAAGGTCATAATCAGACGACTCCGTTGTGTCGGCTGGTCTCGGTCGGCACAGGTCAAATGGGTTAAACAGCAGGCTTAGGGTTGGTTAGTCACAAGACATTTAGTTATTGTTATTTGATCATTTACCCAGTATTCTTCACTACAGGTTTACCACCGGAAATGGACCAGTTTAAACCCAAGTGTCGTCTTCCGGTATCACGGAAGAAAATATTACTCAAGACGGCAATTAAACCTGTAAACCAGAGTAGCAATTAAACAACTACGATTTATATTGGAGCCCTAGTTTTAGTCTTGAATAAATGGGAGATGCGGATTGAAGAATTCACTTTTTTCCTTATAATGAAAAAACAGGTCTGTCAAAGTAACCGATTCAGCACAATTTTGAGTTTCTCTTTAAAAAATGAGCATCATAATCAATGCAAATAATCGAAACTTTCGTTATATTCAGCAGTGTCGAGTTTAAATGTTCTTTATTTAAAGGATTCAAGGGAGGATATCCGAAACCGCATCGAAACATAAAACTTCATTTTGAAAATAAAAAGAAATACCTATCACCCTAAAATCCTTCGCGATTATTTCTAAAGCTTCCTTTGTATGAATAACCAAAACCAGAAAAATGAATAATGGAACGAAAGAAAACAACAGCAAAACAATTAAAAGAACAATCTTCACATTTTTGCCCTCTTTTTACTTAATAGAAATCTTAAGAAATGCATGATAAACATTTACAGAATAATAAACAAACTGCAACGGGCCTCTCAATATGTAAGGCAGATAAAGAGATGTGGGACATAGAGCTTCTTGGAATAATGGTGAATAATTATGATATTGACAATTTGTAAAATTGAGAAATGAAAACGTTTCATAGAAACATCATGTAAACAAGTAATGTTAAAGTATATAATTATGTTATTTGAACTTTCATGCATGGCCAGTGACTCCTATACATTTATAAATGGTGGCTGCATTAAGAAAGTGTTAAAAAACTGAGAAAATCTGAAGTAGCTATGATGAATAAGACGAGTGTATATATATTTGTAATACATTTAGTTAACGTCAATTAACCTATAAATGTTTTATCCTTCACTCTCACAGAGCATACAGACTTTAACAAACCGTGTAAGACATTATCAGGGAAACATGTGTTGAGGAGAACACATTACACTTTTAATTGACCGCATTACTCTGGCGGAAGAATATATGTTAAATATTAAAACTTGTTTATGGCAGCGTACACTTAATATTGCAAGTTAGTACATAAAATCCAATAAGAAGGCATGTACAGTATGTAACACACATTGCTTGCAGACAACTTTCAAATCTAATTTATAACAATAATATAAATAATGGTAAAGGACATACCAATTAATGAAATTCTTAACTAATACCTTTTACGACAAGGTGCACAACAGCATATGGATATTGAATCAATTATATGTTCATACATGTAATGACTTACGCGTTATTCTAGTCGGCACAACTCGGTATTGTACGTAAAACGTCCGATATTTATCACAAATATGACGTCAATTTTTCACTGGTGTTACAGAGTAACGATAAGCCCTTGCAGTGAGTTTGACGAAATAGATGAGATTTAAAATTCATGGCAAACAAATCTATTTTACTTTTTTTCTTGATCGCTAATTGATAATGTTTTATCTACATTCATAGGTCACAAAGTAATGATTTGTAGTTCGGACACTTGATCTACCGGCTAAATGTTTGCGTGCTTTTTGTGCGTTTTGAATATTAACTAAAAAGATAGTTAAAGGTGTTCCATATTTAAATACATAGATATATGTTAACATTTGTGGCAATCCCATTTACACACCTTAAATGAAGGTAATGAATACTTAATAGGCTACAAATATGATATATGTACCTTTTAACTGTATGGCCTACCGTGTATACATACTACGTAACAAACTTTTAGAAAAAGTTTAATGGACAAAAAAATGAAAGAGAGACAAATCCTTGTAAAAGTAGGCCACACTATCTTAATCTAGTCTTTCACTACACTACAAAATCGACATGGTATATAATATATTAAACATGCCGCACCTTTATCCCCGTACAAACAATCTTGGATTTATACAATTACTTCAAGCCCTTTAAAAGAGTTTAAATGTTAAATGTATACACAAATACGGAGTATAAAAGCCCGATTCATAAAACTTGTATGACGAGAAATAATACATGACTGTGTTAATACCACAAAAACTTTAACCTGTCTCGTTTGCTAGCTACGATACAACCGTATGCAACGAAGAGTTATATTATATATACACTAAACGTCTCCCTATAACAAGTTGGTACGTTAGACAGAGCTCTGTAATATACATTTGTATATACACATTAACAGCTTACACACACATACATACAGCTAGTATTATATACCGCTTGGTTAACCAGGAGAGCATATAAAACGTGTTTTGTTTAGACTGCATATTGAATGTGCTGTATTTGACCATCATTCACTAAATATCACTTATTTTTTCTAGCGTAACATTACACAATACATTATTGATGCTCCCCAGTTAGGTCAATAACCACACAATTATATCTCTACTAACCCTACAGCTTATACGTCTTTCTTATTTTGCTACCGATCGAACATGCATGCAAAGAAGCTGAATGGGTAAAGACTCTAGCCAGTGTTACAATACTATAAATATTTGATATTGGAATAAGAAAACACATTCTGGTGTGAAATCAAATATGCAATAAAACCAGTTTAACACTGCAATATTTAGTTTCATTACCACTTGGAAGAGCTGTCAGCACTGATTCATTCAATATTCAGCGTAAGTGGAGTCGGCATGTTCCGCTGCAAGCCTGTGACTATAAAAAAATGTATATATCTCTCACAGTATGTGTGTATGATGGTAGAATCCAGGAATGCCGGTAATTTATAAACATGTGTTTCACCTCCTCTTGTCTGACAAACTACAGCGTATACAACATTGTGCATCCATTTTCATTTAAAATAATATTCTACGCTACTGTTTATGTAACTTCTCTCTATGTCAACACAAAATGTTTCTGTTTAACAGGTCTGCACTATGACATAGATTTGAAATCGATAGTCTCTACTAATTGTAAGAAAATGATAGCCTACATACAACTATTTCATTAAAAGTAAGTTTGTTATTCATAATGATGATGGAGTAGAAACTGGAAAGAAATTGCAACAAAAAATCTGTTGACATAAAAGAAATAAGTTCAGTAAGTGATAACATATATATGAAATCATTATAATGAGATTATGTATCAACATTATAACACATGCAGCTGTAGCAAATGGCAATATTAACTGAAGAAGGACGTTTTGCTAATCTGCATTTTGAAAAACAAAACAGTATATAGGCACATACGTTCTGTGAAAAAAAAGACATTAAATGTTTGACTTTTTATATGACACTACAAAAAACAATCCTTTTTTGACATAATGCACGCTATGTAACTAATCACGAATGCGTCTCTTAAGGATCATTAAAACTGCACTTAGGAAAAAATATATTTTGTGTTTTTGTATGTTTTATATACATTTGTTTTTGTTTTTTTTCTTTAAAAAAATGATAGAATAAACAATGAATATCACATCACATTTGCTCACTTAAGTACATGTAGTAAATGCAATTTCATTATCACTCGTACAAAAAAAACTCTTTTTTGTAACAAAACATTCTATACATACAATTCAATGAAGAAAAAAAAATCATGCATTATTTATCACATGTATACATACACATTGTTTCTTATAAAGCTATACAAACACAATTAATGTCTATTTACAAGTTGACGTAGGTATAAACGATGAAGAAAACGAACCCATCTTTATCACAAGTAGTGTCAACTCATTGCCCTGTGCCAAGAAATGGTCTGCTGCCAAATTTCAAGTTTTTTCTTCACTATACTCATATTTAATACTGACCGTAATATATGGTCATCATTGTTAGAAGAATTAACGTCTGCTTCAAAAGTCTTGCCACTTCAAAATATCTCAATTAGCAGCAAGTATTTCTTACAAGTGCCGAGTCATTTTCAAAAACATGAAAAGCAGATACTTACATTGGTATATTTATGAAGCACGTAATATCCCCAAACTGTTAAAAATTTGTCTGCACATGTACAATATAAAAGCACAAATACACATGTGGATCAGATTCCATATTCCGGTGAGCTTGGGTAACTTGAAAGCGAACTCTCACAAGACTGACCTGTCGAATTGCTTTTTGTAGGAGGGATTCCTAATTTTGCCCTGAGAAGGTCATTTTGCTGCTTAAAGTAATTCTTTTCTCTCGTTAGAACGGATACATGATGTTGAAGAGCATCTATTTGGTCCAGTAATGAATTGTTCGTACGTTCTAATTGCGTTTTATGATGCATTCTCTTAGATCTACAGTTTTGTGCATACCCTCGATTTTTCAGAGTACGCCTCTTTTGTTTTAAACGTTGAATTTCATCCTTTGACAAACCCTGAAGTCGCTTATTAAGTTCCCTTACCGGAAGTGTGACGAGGTCTTCATCTTCCAGCTCACATTCAGATGTAGTCGATGAAAAAGTGTCCCTCCTACGTCGACGAGGAGTCGAAGGCGCAGGGGTCATTACCTCTTGATCCATTGGGCTCTCGGGCGGTGTGGGAATCTCATCCTTGATCATTTCCATTAACGGCTCTACAGGGTCCACCTCCTCGCATTTCTGAGAGTTTTGCGACAACTGGAGCACGTTTTGAGACACTTGTATGGAGTTCTGTGAAGATTGGGACTGAGTGGACGTCTGTCGTGACAATGGTCTAGCCCCTGACACAAGGTACTTTTGGAAACTCTGCACGAACTCTGGACTCGATGAAATGAGCACGTCGACAGCTTCATCCGGAGTTATTTCTGAATTACCATGAGGAAAGGCTACGTTCTGTGTCAGCCATGACAAATCTTCTATGAATGATTTAGGGAGTGCTGCTGGAGAGGGAGCTGAAACTTCGCTGCCCGTCGGAGATAAAGGCACACTCCGACTATCTGGGCTGATCGGTGTGGTTCGTCCAGAGTCTAGAGGTGTTAAGGGCTGACTAGGTGATTTCTCTGAATTTGCACAACAACCCTCGCTAAATTTTTCATCCAACTCCTTTTTAATCATCAACTTTGTTGGAACCTCAAAATGCACGAGGTCGAAATCGCTAATATAGTCGTCAGCTAAATGTTGATTTGCCTCCATATTTAACGATCAGCTGGAAGTTTGCCGGGTTAACTAGGTCACACAGATCTGTGGTTTAAATCCGATCAATTTTCCGTTAAAGTTTAAGTCCAACGTGAACGATACGATGATGTATGAAAAATCCAATGTTTTCTGACTACAGTCAGCTATGAAAAGTGATAATTATTCATTTAGATGAAAGAAAAATCGACGGTGGTCCAAGGGCACAACCACCGAACGACTTTACAGACTGAGTAACAGGCAACAACAGGCAAAATTGGAAACCCCCTGGTATACTTATATTACATCTGACGTCAAACAGACAACCTGTGAATAAACCAGCCAATCGCGTGCAATATTGGGAGATAAAAATAGACATTATCGCGCAGTTGTCTATGAAAACGAGGCAAAGAGGCTATCGTATGTAAAATTTATATTGGTACTCATACCATGCCGGTTTCGCCGGATATTGATTTAAGTGTTAATTTTGATATTCATATTAATGAAAAAAGAATTACTTATTTATGGTCCGTAAAAATCATTTTGATTCATGGGTATCTTTTTTCATAGCAGACGTCTCTCTCCTTTTAACATTCCAGCATGGAGCCTCGCATACGCTGATTACTCGCGGTTGTGCAATATATAAAATATGAATAAAAAGAGTTGTTTCATTTTCTAGATTATTCTGTGAAAAATTAATGATGAAAAAATCAGTTAACAAGTTCGATAGTAATGTACATACATGTATATACGTACCTATAATGAGCTAAATAATTCACGAGCATAAAAATGGAAGTTAACATAGTGCCTTACAGACAGATTATAATGACAAATTAACATATCAAAATTATAAATTTACTATATAAACAACTTTATATTATATTTTGCTATCAGAAAAAATGTTTATGAAATAACTAATGATTAGTTGAGATACCGTTTTAGACGTGAACTGTTTTAAAGGCCCATTACGCCCCATAAATTATTATTATTTCTATCCCGCAAACGTTTTTTTTATTATTGTTTCCAAAAAGTAACTCATTGGCCAATCACCTGGACCATTTTTCACTCAGTTGCTTTTTGGCAATCAGTACTTCTTTAATGATTTAATATTTTGTATTGATGTCAATTAAAATGCTACTTTGATTACATTTTGCCACATTTATGACAAATAATTGATGAAAAATGATTGCACATTTAACACTACTTTCTTCCGGCGAAAAGCATCTAACATCCTCTAAAACCATTATTTAAACGTTAATAAACTCATATTTGCCCTTTCTAAAGAAAATAAAAATTTGATCATTCCTAAGGCATAAAGTACCATCTCATACATCAGACGTATTTACATGAAGTCCGTCAGTAATATTATATAGTTGCTGCTGCAAGTGCTCTGTATTAAAATGATTTAGGAACTATACAATAGTGTAATAATATTTTATTGCAACTATGTAATACATGTAAGATATGAATACAGATGTAACACAAAAACAAATCTACATACAAGTAGAGTGCAAATGGGTTGGGCTACAAGCAACGTTAACAGCCCTTCCCACAAAGTTTAACGTATAATATATATTTTCCGGATATTATATATGAATATATGTATATTTGAGCCGCGTCACGACAAAACCAACATAGTGGGCTTGCGACCAGCATGGATCCAAACCAGCCTGCGCATCCGCGCAGTCTGATCAGGATCCATGCTGATCGCTATCAGTTTCTCTACTTGTAATAGAGTTGGTAAGTTAACAGCATGGATCCTGATCAGACTGCGCGGATGCGCAGGCTGGTCTGGATCCATGCTGGTCGCAAACCCATTATGTTGGTTTTGTCATGGCATGGCTCATTTAACGTTTTCTGTCATATTTGTTTGATTGTTTCATACAGATCCTACTTTTCCCATTATTTCAGATTTCGACCTTCTAAATAGACTCTCTCCTCCATTACTTCTCGCAACTCATATTGGCAAATAACACAATGTCTTTACTAAGTGATGTTTTATGAGGATAAAGAAGATCCAGTAAGTATTCTCGTCCATAAATTTTTATTGGGAAAACAGTATATTTTCATATATTGAAACATAATTATTTTCATATATTGAAACTGCTGGAAATCGCTTGGTTTCACTTTCAAAAAATAGATAAAATCTTCAAAAGTATTTTATATATGGGGTTCTCATTAGACTAAGCGGTTTTTCGCTTTATGCCATTAAAACAATGAAATATCAGAATTTAATTAACACGGAATTTCCATATTTGGATGTAACAGAATGGCCTCTAGAAACAGAACTTGAGACTTCTCCACGGAAATTGACAAAAAAAATAACGTACACAACTTCTTGACACTTTAATTAACGCCAGTTCGCAACAGTTCAACACTGAAACACACACTGAACATTGAGTCAATGTTTTATGAATAACGTTTCGGACTTTATCTATTTCATTTTCATTTTGATTGGATGATAATTCAGTTGAGTGACACGTAAAGCAGCTACTTTCGAAACTTGATACCGAACTTGCAGTGTGACGTCATTAAAAAGATGAAACTGCAGGAAGAAGTTAGAGTCAGGTATTCAGTATCTTCCGACGGCTTGGTGCTAGTTTCGTCGAAAATATCATTGCTAAAACCAACAGTCACTTTGTTCCTGGAAGTGGTTAATTTTTTTTATTCACTTTTCGAATTTTCACTGAATTTTTCCGATAAACTCCATACTATGGCGCCCTTTTTTGCGAAGATCACCGAAACAAATATGTTAGAATTAAGGTTAATCATCGCGAAGGTTTAAACATTTCGATTCTTGCGAGGATTAAAGTGAAAAATGCGACAAATTATTAAAACATTAAATGACGTCAAAGTTTCACGCAAGATTTTGAATCTCGCTACATGAAAATGGCGACACAATGCATTGGCAAAAGGTGTCATTCTTACTGGCCCAAACAGGACACCGTACATTGACAGCACTATTAAAACTACGTCTAAGGTATCAAATTGATTAAAAAATGTCTTCTTACAGATGAAGAAGACACTTTGCATAGCTCTGCTGGGGTATAGTCGTATAAATATAGAGACGTGCCTAAATGTAATTTCAAATATGCCACTGTCTATGAAACGAATAAAAAAAAAAAAAAAAACGAAACGAAACCCTTATTATAAAGAACAAATGAAAATGTGGCAGACTCCGACGGTTTGATTTAAAATAGCCTTTTGGGCGGTACTAGAAGGTGCAAGTTACCTACCGTACACGCCCCCTAGCACCCGCTTTTAAGCAGAATTCAACATTTAAACATGAAAATGGTGAAATTTTGAACATCTTCCTGATGAAGATGTGTTCATGCACAGGAACTTGAAATTCTATCAAATAACCAATATTAATGATAATATCTAAATATACCCCCTATATACTAGTTTATTTATACTGTATAGGGGGTATATTTTGGATATTATCATTAATATTTATAGAATTTCAAGTTCCTGTGGTTCATGGAACCTTCAATATCACATATGACACTTCCGTGCAATTCCATAAAAAGCCTGTTTAAGAGTGGTATACCTGAATCATATATACTTTTTGCTCCCTTTTATTATTATATAGGCCTTATATATATAGTAAACGGGTACTGGGTAGCAATTTGGTTCATGAGGATCAAGGGGATATTATTTTATGATAATATGACCATTTTTGGCGAACGCCTGTAGTTCAGAACGGTAGTCACTAAGATCGTCATTTCACAAATGATCTTAAAAAGTAGCTAAATATATTCCCGGAACAATATATAACTACATAATGCTGGTTTAAGCATGATAAAGCAGCCGTATGCGCTTTCATTTCTTTTAATTAAATGTAATTTAGACAACAAAAATTCCGTTTACCTTCCGCGTGTTACTCGTTTCGGTCCATACTGTACTTTACAGCTTTTGCATGGATTTTGCACAATTCAGGACTGTGTTAGTTTCACATTCACTGTGTTACTGGATATACACGGTGATATATGCTCGACAGTTTTGAATTAAAAACCAAATCTTTCAAAGACAGGTTCGATTTATTTGCAAGTGGTGACCTAACTATAAGGGGAAATAACTTTTATTGTATGTGTAAGTGATAGGGAGAATAATTTCGGCCGGGTTTTCCAAAGCAGCGGCGTATTTTTGTTTTAACTTCAAGATATAACAACGATAACATTTTATGTGAACATAAGTGAAGGCTTGGAAACTGGTAACGTTATTTTACATGGCCAGTAAATAACCACATTTCATTTTGAGGTTAAGGTCGTAATGACACTTTTTGGATCATACTTGTCAGTTCATTAGCAAGATAAGACATACAGTCAATCAATCTATGTATTTGAAATTTGGTAGGGACATTGTCCATGACCAGAATTGATTTTGAGGTCATTCGGTCAAAAGTAAATTTAAAATAATAGTAAAATACTTCTCTACTTAATAACTTAAAAGGAATGAGCCAATGTTTGTGAAACCTTGTGGGGTCATTGTTTATGGTCAGTAGATGACACCAATATAGAATGAGGTCATTAGGGCAAAGTTCAAGGTCACAGTAAGACTTAGTGTAAATTTCTTGTCAGCTCAATAAGTTGAGAAGGAATAAACCTCCCTGTGTGAAACTTGGTTGGAACATTACCCATGGCAAGCTGAATACTATTTCTCAATGTTCATACAAACTGCTGGGACTGAAACTCCATGATTTTTTATGATAAAACCTCATTAACTTTTTCCATGGCCTGTCAAAAACAAGTGATTTTTCCAGGTCTGTATAAATCCTCCCTTCTGATTTTGAGGTCATTCTATCATAGTTCAAGGTCACAGTGATACCAAGTCTTGTCCAAATCAATCTTGTCTAATCAATAACTTGTTAACTTTGTGATATTTTCTATAAATTGAGTCGTATCACTTTTACATACTAGTATTGCACAACGTAAGACAGCACACACTTGGTGTTTAATGCACTGACACTGGTGGTGGTGGTGTTGGTAGTTTTCATTCCGGATCACGGCTGTAAGCCACATTGAATTTACCAAAGCACAGTTCAGCCACCGCATCGTTCCTGGGCAGGCTTTCAAGCAATTTATTAGTACTAGTTTTGCCTTCACTTTCGCAAAGAACTGATAACTTCTGTGCATACCAGAGCAGAGGGTTCAGTGCTAATGACCGTAAAAAGAATTTCATGATCAAACGATATAACCTGAAAGTAACCTGCACTGTCCGGGAATCAAACCCAGATGGCCTGATTCACAGTCAAATGCACTACCTATTGAACTACACTGACACTATAAACTTCTGTTTTCACAAACTTTAAAGAAGCAAAAAGCTATAAACTGATCAAAATTTTAATACAATGACAACACATACATTGCAAAAAGAAATTTAAAAAAAAGCAATAATTAAGAATACTATCACAGTTAAATTAATATACATGTAGTTATAAAACAGTCATGTACAATCAATCATATAATAATACATGCAAAATGATGCAAAACTTCTTTCAGGACATTATAAACATAGAAAATATATAAATAGTGCAACAAGATTTACAATATTTAACAGTCTTCTTGTACATTATACACATTTATCTTACTTCCACTTATGACATTACTGACTCAAGTGTGAATGTCACCAGTTAGAAACAGGCAAGTTCTCATTTTATTGTGTCTTTTTTTTCCCCTCTAGTATTCCAAAAGTAATGCCAAGTCAGTATGCAAAACACTAGTCAGAAATATACCTTTGATGGCAAAAATGATATCTGTTAGTTTTTCTTCATATAAAAAACATTAAACAAAAGACTGATCTAAAAATAAATAAATAACAACATTACCTAAGATAAAGTTTTTGAAATAAAGGTTAAAAAACTTCATATATAATCATGCCAGTCTCTTTTAAAGGCACATTATGCCTCACAAACAAACAAATTTTTACTTTTTTAGAAATATGAATTGTACAACTGGTATAACAGTTAAGTATTTAAGCATGTTAGAAGTTTTTTACCCGCAGAAAGTAGCACTAAATCTGAATTTATTTGTCATATTTTGACTTTCATTCACAACACTAAATCACTATAACTGTACTTATTGCCAAAAAGCAACAGAAAAAAGAGAGGAAAAAGATGATGCACATACACCATTATTGGCCAATGACTTACTATTTTTTAGAAACTATAAAAGTGAACCAAAAAAGTTTTTGAGAATTGAAAAAAAAAGGATTGATTATGCATAATTGGCCTTTAAAACACAAAAGAGTTTGTTTGATGCAAAATGTACATTGTTAATTAAAAAGAGACTTTTCATTATTATACCATGTATTGCTAGAGAAGTAATGTCACACTGACATTATATTTATATAACTATAATTAAAGGCACATTATGCCTCAGAAAAGAATAAAAAATTCTCTTTTAGAAAGGTCAATTATGCGTTTTATAACATTTAAATAATGTTGTTGTTTTTTTTATGTAAGATGCTTATCACCTGAAGAAAGGAGTGCAGTATGTGAAATTGTTTCTTACAAAAGTAGCAAAATGTAAACAAAGTAGTATTTACTTCCATTCAAAATACTAAATAACTATAACTGTACTAATTGTCAAAAAGCAGCCGAAGCAAAAGATGGTTCAGATAATTTGCCAATATGTAGCTTTTTGAAAACTATATATAATAGAATACACACACAAAAATGTTTTTAAAAAATGAGAAAAAAATAAATAAAACATTACTCAGGCAAAATGGGCCTTTAAGAAAAAAATCCTTTTTGTACAGTTTTTCATAATTTTGATCAATTTTGACATATTGCATAAGTACGTCTACACATGAACAAGAAAACAATATAGTCCTCCGATAGACTAAAAGGCCTAATTAACATATGATTGGAGTGATATTATGCTCAACCATGTAAATGTATCAATGACCATGGCACAGGTAAAAGACAAAAGAACTACACACTTTCGTAACACTTGCTTAATATTTCATATTTTACATTTATAATCAATATCCCATGTGACTCAAAAAAAATTCTATAAATATTCCTCAGAATGTATGCATTGGTAACGTTAAATTTTCAAAAAGAGTGGGGGAATCTTTCTTATACTTTATGCAGTTTTAATATTATATCCAAAACAAATAATGTAACAAATTGTTTATTTCTATTAATCTATCTGCTATAATTAGGAATGATAATCATTTTATCCACTGATACTTTATCAACCTAGAAGAAGATTGGTCCTAACACTTCAGTCAGAGCCAATTAAAACCCTTTGAGCATATATTCGGCCGCTTCCCCTACAAAACTAGCCTCTTTTTTTCCCCGGGTTTGGTCCCCTGCTTCAGTATAATGTGTCCTCATAATTTCCAGCAATATCTTAAACAGCCACTAACAACATAGCTGTAATATAAAGAAATTAAATTTCATTAAAAAGTGGTCGAAATGGGCATTGCAAATTATATTAATTATATTAAGTTAATATCAAAACTGATCAAAAGTTTCTTAAGAGCTCCAAATAGAACATTATATAGAGTTTATTTCTATAAAAAGTCTATGTAATATAAGTGACTTCCATGATTGACCATTTCTGACCTTAGCGGCCATAACTTAATAACTTTTGTAGAGGACCACAAGACAAATTCTGGGAAAATCTTATACTTATATAGAGGATATTGAATGAGTGTAGTTTAATACTAAATTTATTGAACGAGTTGAATAAAATCATATTATGCGAGCCTCTGGCGAGCATAATATTGTTTTAATCAACAAGTTCAATAAATTTAGTATTGAATCTACACAAATATTATATTCTATTTATCACATATATAAAATAAGAACATTAAACTGTTAAAATGAGTAATTTTTCAATGACACGCCCATAGTGTAACGCTAACATTAGCGCACTTTAACGCTATGTTTCTATATAGCGCAAATGACGTCACGTCAAAGTGTTATTACACTAGTGTAATATCGTTTTTATTAAATGGCTTTATTACACTCCTGCGCCGCGATTTATGTGATAAACTAGTATACGTGAAATTATGACCCCTCAGCACTGCCTCTCAATACAAACTGGATAATTTATATACTCTAACACAAACACCCTTTGGCCTCTCCACACATGATTTCTGTATTCTACTGTTGTAGAGGACCACAATACTATGATAGAACTAATTATCATTCATCATAAATCGTACATATACCTTGCATCATTCAAATTGGTCTTCCGATCCGTTTACTTAGCATACGTTCACTAATATCCCACAATGCCTTGGCTAGCTCATCATCACATCCTGCACTAGATGGGGGACAACGGCAGCAATTATTAAAATACATTCCACCATTACTCTGTAACTCTGGGGCTGAAGCACAATAAATAGTTGTGGCTGCTCCTTGTTGCTAAAATAATGAAACACAAAAGAATCAAAGGCACCACAAAGAAATCAAATGAAATAGTTATCCACCAAGGAACATGTTAACTGAATTGATAGTGCCTGATTTTTACAATATTTATCTCCCTTGCCAAAAGTGGTAACCATTTTGGGATCAATATTCTATGTATATACAATCTAACTTGAACAAAAAAACTAAAACTACTCAAACTGTATTTATGAATAGAGTACATCGACTTATTTGTATAATCATTTCAAACATTTACTATTGTTCATTAAGTATTTCAGTTACATTACCTGGTAATTAAAATGAATATCAATAAAATATATTTATTTCTACAATTTTCAACATAAAACTAATAATTTCATTATATTGATTGAAATAACAAGAGTGAACTTGATATGATAATGATATATCAATTAGCTTGCTTTTTCATGTTTTTATCATCTGCTGCATTCATATCAGGGTTTTTCACAGCTTTAATTTACCGTATAATCAATGCGCTATTTTTAGCGATGTGGATTTCCAAGTGTGAATTCCAAATGTTGCTATGGCTACGCTTCAGCGCGTGTGCTAATTACGTCAGATTACACAATTAAATCTGCCTCCAGGCAGTATTATCGAATGGAGAAATATACATGTCAGACATTTCATAGAGATTTTAGGGCGACTAGAATTTCGCTTTTCAGATCATATAGGGCGAAGTGAAAATATTTACGGCGAAATTTTCGCCTGACATCGCCCTGAACACAGTCCCTGTAATCAGTGAACTTGATAAGATAATCAAATAGTGGCATGGCCAAATGGATAACACATCAAACTAGTAATCTAATGATTGCTAGCCGCATGGTTTCAAACCCTGTCAGGGGCAAGCCATTGTTTACATGAGCCAGAAATTTTACACTCATTGCTTAGTCCTGGTTGGTTCCAGGAATGGATATGAGAGTGTTTCAATAAGTTTATAGCTTCCTACACAATTGAACTAAAATAAACAAGATATGTTTGTAAAACATGTATGCCCCCTATCAGCAGCCAATTAGTCATGTGATAAGGTTATTATGCATGACTTCTGACCCAGTGATCAAACAACTAATAAGGGTTATAAAGTATCTACTGGTCATGACCTTGACCTTTGACCCCTTGACCCAAAACTCAATAGGGGTCATCTGCTGGTCACGACCAATCATCAAACAAAGTTTGAAGTTCCTAGGCCTAGGCGTTTTTAGTAAATTGATCAGAAACCATTTTTACCTACAAGGTCAATGTGACCTTGACCTTTGACCCCTTGACCCCAAAATCAATAGGGGTCATCTGCTGGTCATGACCAATCACCATGCCAAGTTTGAAGTTCTTAGGCCTAAGGGTTCTCTTATTATTGATCGGAAACCGTTTTAACATACAAGGTCAATGTGACCTTGACCTTTGACCCCAAAATCAATAGGGGTCATCTGCTGGTCATGACCAATCACCATGCCAAGTTTGAAGTTTCTAGGCCGAAGCGTTCTTTAGTTATTGATCAGAAACCGTTTTTACTTACAAGGTCATTGTGACCTTGACCTTTGACCCCTTGATCCCAAAATCAATAGGAGTAATCTGCTGGTCATGACAAATCACCATACCAAGTTTGAAGTTCCTAGGCCTAAGCGTTCTTGAATTATTGATCAGAAACCGTTTTTACTTAAAAGGTCAATGTGACCTTGACCTTTGACCCCTTCACCTAAAACTCAATAGGGTCATCTGCTGGTCATGACCAATCATCACACAAAGTTTGAAGTTCCTAGGCCTAAGCGTTTTAGTTAATTGATCGGAAACCGTTTTTACCTACAAGGTCAATGTGACCTTGACCTTTGACCCTTGACCCCAAAATCAATAGGTCATCTGCTGGTCATGACCAATCACCATACCAAGTTTGAAGTTCCTAGGCATAAGGGTTCTTAAGTTATTGATCGGAAAGCATTTTTACGTACAAGGTCAATGTGACCTTGCCCTTTAACCCCTTAACCCCAAAATCAATAGGGTCATCTGCTGGTCATGACCAATCACCATACCAAGTTTGAAGTTCCTAGGCCTAAGGGTTCTTTAGTTATTGATCGGAAACCGTTTTTACCTAAGAGGTCAATGTGACCTTGACCTTTGACCCCTAGACCCCAAAATCAATACGGGTCATCTACTGATCATGACCAATCACCATCTCAAGTTTGAAGTCCCTAGGCCTAAGGGTTCTTTCATTATTGATCGGAAACCGTTTTTACCTACAAGGTCAATGTGACCTTGACCTTTGACCCCTTAACACCAAAATCAATAGGGGTCATCTGATTGGTCATAACCAATCACCATACCAAGTTTGAAGTTCCTAGGCCTAAGGGTTCTTTTGTTATTGATCAGAAACCGTTTTTAATTAAAAGGTCAATGTGACCTTGACCTTTGACCCCTTGACCCCAAAATCTATACGGGTCATCTACTGATCATTACCAATCACCATACCAAGTTTGAAGTTCCTAGGCCTTAAGGTTCTTTAGTTATTGATCGGAAACCGTTTTTACCTACAAGGTCAATGTGACCTTGACCTTTGACCCCTTGACCCCAAAATCAATAGGGGTCATCTACTGATCATGACCAATCACCATACCAAGTTTGAAGTTCCTAGGCCTAAGGGTTCTTTTGTTATTGATCAGAAACCGTTTTTAATTAAAAGGTCAATGTGACCTTGACCTTTGACCCCTTGACCCCAAAATCTATACGGGTCATCTACTGATCATGACCAATCACCATACCAAGTTTGAAGTTCCTAGGCCTTAAGGTTCTTTAGTTATTGATCGGAAACCGTTTTTACCTACAAGGTCAATGTGACCTTGACCTTTGACCCCTTGACCCCAAAATTAATAGGGGTCATCTACTGATCATGACCAATCACCATACCAAGTTTGATGTTCCTAAGCCTTAAGGTTCTTTAGGTATTGATCGGAAACCGTTTTTACCTACAAGGTCAATGTGACCTTGACCTTTGACCCCTTGACCCCAAAATCAATAGGGGTCATCTACTGATCATGACCAATCACCATACCAAGTTTGAAGTTCCTAGGCCTTAAGGTTCTTTAGTTATTGATCAGAAACCGTTTTTGCTTACAAGGTCAATGTGACCTTGACCTTTGACCCCTTGACCCCAATATCAATAGGGGTCATCTACTGATCATGACCATCACCATACCAAGTTTGAAGTTCCTAGGCCTTAAGGTTCTTTAGTTATTGATCGGAAACCGTTTTTGCTTTTAAGGTCAATGTGACCTTGACCTTTGACCCCTTGACCCCAAAATCAATAGGGGTCATCAACTGGTCATGACTAATCACCATACCAAGTTTGAAGTTCCTAGGCCTTAAGGTTCTTTAGTTATTGATCAGAAACTGTTTTTGCTTTCAAGGTCAATGTGACCTTGACCTTTGACCCTTGACTCCAAAATCAATAGGGGTCATCTACTGGTCATGACCAATCACCATACCAAGTTTGAAGTTCCTAGGCCTTAAGGTTCTTTAGTTATTGATCGGAAACCGTTTTTGCTTTCAAGGTCAATGTGACCTTGACCTTTGACCCCTTGACCCCAAAATCAATAGGGGTCATCTACTGGTCATGACCAATCACCATACCAAGTTTGAAGTTCCTAGGCCTAAGGGTTCTTTAGTTATCACTCGGAAACCATTTGGTCTACGGACCGACGGACCGACGGACCGACAAGTGCAAAGCAATATACCCCCTTTTTTTCAAAATGGGGGCATAATTAGTATAAACTTAATGGTATTTTAAACATTCCTTCAAAAAAAAAAATATCTACATCAATAAACATGTAATCATAGTAACAAAATCTGAAATAACAAGATAAAAAAATACTCATTTTCAAAAACGGTTAACAAGACCTCTCCTTAAAGCTTTTAAAGTAAACATTGTTTACTTTAAAAACTTAAAGGAGAGGTCTTGTTAGCATACATTACATGTATGTTGTTTAACAACATACATGTAATGTACCAGATCAATGTTCACTTGAAGAAAACAATAAAAACAAGGAATTTCATTCTTCAGTTTTGAGTTTTAAGACACAACAACACAGTAAAGATCGAAAGGCAACTTTTAAGCTACATACTAGTGGAAGAAGAAATCAGCAAGCTTGGCGCACTTATGTGCATTATCTCAGAGTGTTTTCTCTTGAATAACTTCTTATCATCAAAACAGATTTTTATAGAAACAGTCATTAAGGTTTTTTTCGAAAGACATAGTCAGTCTGTGATCTGTTTGATTTCCTGTAAAATTTACAGGGAAGAACTAAATAACATAAGGATTTTCATTGGTCATTTTTAAATTGCGCACTGAAATCCAGGAATCTCATTGGCCATTCTGAAATTAGTATAATAATCTAAAGGATCTTTCTGAAACGTATATACAAATCCAAATTATTAAATAATCTGAAGGAGTACCAGAAACACACTTTCTAGTTAAATTTCTCGGATATTTGAGACCTGTGAACTTCCTCCTAATAAATATTTTACACTGCTTTAAAAATTTCCATTAATTCTCTAGTGAATATCTTATTCAACATAAGACTTTACCAAGTTTTAAATGACATTCTAAAATGATGAGACGACCAATCACGTCCACTGTCCTGGAAAACATGTGCAAACCAAAAGACACCATGCAAGTAAAAGTAGTTTTATTTCGTTCCCAGTATCTTTTTAAAGATACTTCTTGTTAATATTGAAACCAATTATAAAAACTTACCATTGACTTTGTGAAAGGTCTTGCAACATAGAACAATAATCTGTAAAACCACCAGTTTCTCTGTAGATTCGTATACATGATGTTTCCTGGATGCAGCGAATTGGAAACTACACCATACTTTGAGAGAAGATTATTTAAATGAAGGGAGAAGAGAACATTACACAGTTTGGACAAGTTGTATGCTTGCATATCCCAGTATTGTTTAGCACTAGGCGATAGTTTTTCTTCATTTAAGTTACATATATCCAAATTTGCACTTCTGAAAATGAAAAATAAAAATATTAAAGCAGATCTGTATCTCATAATATTGTTATTTGTTTTTTTTATTTGGATTTATGTCTTTACAGATTAAAGAGGTCACAATGGTGACTTTCCAGCTCTACTGGTGAAGGAGGACTTCAGGTACTCCTTAGTGCATTATTTCAGGAATGAACGGGCATCTGAGGAAAAACACCGACATCATATGAGCTGTCTGGATAGCTTCATCACATGAAAGAATCTAAAGTCCTGACAATATGCAACAGGATATTTGAAGACAAAGCTTCTGTGAAAGATTGGTCAAAATGCTTTGAAAAATGTAGGAGGAACTGCTCACAGAAAAACTGCTAAGCCTGCCCACTGACATACACCAATCTAATATTAGAAAGCAATGATAACATCAGAAATTATGAAATATTTACTTATTCACTGCAGTTTGTAGTCACTAAGGTATCAGACTAGGAATATCTTTCCTCTCACATAAGTTGGTTTAGGTTCGAATCCAGCAAAGGGCACTGAATTCTGTCATGTGAGACAATCATACGCTACATTACAAAACAAAGCAGAATCTGTTCAACCATGGTGGTAAGCACTAGCAAATGTGCCAATTAGATGACCTCAGCAAACAATGCAAAAAAAGTGACAATATGCTCTTAATAGAGCTTTTAACACAGCCGAATCAAATAAAAAATGTTCCAATTCTATTCTAATAAAATAAACACATTTTTTTTACAGAATTATTCTGTGAGTATACCTATGTGACTCTGAGGAGACTACAATTACTCTAGCTGGAGCAGAATTCATCAACACAGTCCATAATAATTTTGTGAGGTAGAAATGTGACAAATGATTCACTTGAAATGTTAATTCTATACCATCCTCAGTTTGAGTGTAAGACTGACCAAATACAGCTGCATTCAGTATCAGTAGATGTAAAGGCCTGAAATAATAAAGAAGACGTAACAAGAGCAGGACAGTGTGCTCAACTATTCTCAGTGCTTGACAGTAAAGCAAGAGCCTGGATAATGTAAAAAAAATAAGATAAAAAAGGGTCATCATTCTGTCAAAATCCATTTCAGAGTAATGGGCCTTAGATAGTGACTTCATATTATGCTCTATAATAAGCATGTGAAGTTACAACCCATTCCCTTCAGAAGTTTTGGAGATACCAAGTTGCATGCAAACATTTGAAAATAGTGACGCTGACACCAATGCCTGGTTGAGTACTTTAGCTCTTCCTATTCTCTGAATAGTCAAACTAAACCCAAATCTATGTTTTCCCTGCATCATTCTCTAAACCAAAAATGTAAATATGATATACATAGATATATGATACTATGGTTTTGAACTGATAAAGGGTTAAAGCTATTTGTAATTTAGTATTTTTATGAAAGTACTGTAAAATCATTATTATTCGTGGGGCACGAATTTTCGTGGTTTTCGTGGGTAGGTCAATCCATGAATTTAAGATCCGACGAAATTTTATCCCAGCAAATACGTCTGTTCTATATTTTACAAACATGCGTCAGCTCTTTTCAAACCGATTTTCGTGAAATGGACGTATATACATACATCTATGTCACAAATGTCGGTCGCATATACACACTTGATCGTTGTAGTCTACTTGATTGTGTAAACAAGAATACTTGACATAATCGAGTAAATATGGGAACCCAGGCAATGCAATAATTAGCGCTGATAAAAATTGTCAGTTTGCTCTTATTAATTAAAAAAGTTTGTAAGTACACAAAACTATAAAAAATACGATCGCTAAAACAAATGAATTGTACATTCTTTGTCGTTTTAAATGATCCAGTTTAAACGAATTTTTATCTGTATTTGTGCGAATGCTATTCCACAAACATCAAAGACGCCACTGACTTTTACTTGATCCACACATACTCGTGTTATTTACTCAGATTAATTTATATGCATGTAAATTTACACAGTCGCTGTGACGTTGCGTGTAGTTACTGTCAAATGTGGTATGTAAACTTTTTTTAACTGGCTGGTTAAAACGTGTCAGGTGTCGTATAATTATGCGATGTTTACATCGGCGAATTACACGGGAAGTGTGTCCAATGGAGGTGCATATCATGTCACATAAATGTGTTAATTGCAGTAACTGTGCTATATTAGAGTTATGCCCAGAGGCAAGGATTAAATTTATTGACAAGCGCTGTGTGACACGTAAAGATATGTACATGTTGTAAGTAAAAATGTTCGGCGATTAAGTGTCAGATTACTTTGCATTAGGTTACTGATTTTTTTTACAAGAAACTGAAAATCCACAAATTTAAGAACCCACGAAAATGCCTGTTTTGATAAAACCACGAAATTTCATGCCCACGAATATAAGTGAATTCTCAGTAATTAACATGTATTTTTATTGTTTCCATAATCTGATTTTTTTATCCTTACAATTGATTCTCAAAAAAGTTGTCACATAGAATGTCTGTGTTATTTAATTTGAAGATATATATTGCTTTAATTTTGATGTTTAAAAAAGATATTTGCTATACAGTCTTTTTTAAAAGTAAACTTATGATCTTTTGAGAGCACAAAATGGATATTTGAAATGTTTATACTCCGCATACTTACGGTAAATACAGTATAAATAGATATTGTACTTGTATTAAAAAACCTAGCATCTTTTTAAGGTAGGACCCCATTACCATAACCAGTTATAGGGAATGCAGCTTTCCAAACATAGTTTGTGCATTCTCTTACTCAAACTTTATAAAAAGGTCATTCAGAAAGTTATGTTTATCAAATAAATGTAAGTTATTCATTCCATCAGCTGATTAAATATGGCATGAAAGAATCTAAAGTCCCTGACTGGCTTTGAACCCACAGTGGTAAAGGACTAGTGGTTTTAATTCAACAACCTACACCACTCAGTCACAGGAGCCTCCACCCATTAAAAGAGTTATCGGAAAAACAATTATACCCACCAACTTTTGTTTTTATATTGTTCAGCAAATTCTTGAACACTTTTCAATGAAGCCAGATCTATCTTCATAATTTCTATTTTAACTTTAGGTCGCTCCTCTAAGATCTGATCTCTACACTGTCTTGCTGCGTCCATATTTCTACATGCCATTACAACATGAGCACCATGAAATGCTAGTGATCGTACTGTTTCAAAACCTACAAATTAAAAAAGACATGGTTACATACAGCTGATCTTGACTAATGCAGCATTAGGGGTGGGGAAGGGACATGTGTTAAGTAAGATCTGATGTGCTTTGGCATGATATTACTTTAGGGGCATAAGCTGGCATTCAACTAGAACCACTGAAAGTCCAATTGTCCATAAGATATCTTTGTAACTTCCTTGCATATTTCTTTTCTTAGCCTTTAAAATTTTATTTGTCAGAATTATATATTTTTATCTTAAAGAATACAGTACCCTTTTTAGTTTTTAGACATTAACATGTAAGATTTTGAAAGTTACTCCCAAGGGTTTAATTAATGAGATGAATTTCAACAGTATCAAATTCAGTCCCATGTTAGCTCTTCTCGATCTCAACAAAATATTTGACACAAGCCATTTCAAAAAATGATTTACCAATTCCACTGTTGCCACCAGTAACAATGGCATACTTTCCACTTAAGTCTCGACCGTTCAATATCTGTAACGCAGAACTGTTGCCATCAAATTTTTGTTTCAATTCCTTTTTTGAAACTTCTTCGGCAAATGCCAGTCTAGGGTCTGTGTATGTAGTCTTCTGATTTATGTGGCTAAAATATGAAATATGTTCTTCATTTCATAAATAAAGCAATTATAAACAGCAAAAATATTTCGCCATCACAATTCCTGTTTTTCTAAGCTTGATTTGAAGTTACACAGACAATGTAAAAGATTTTGCTTTAATAAAATCTTCAAACTTTACTGGTGGAGGAAGACTCTTTTGCCTCTGCTGTAAATTACTTTATGGACAAGCATTCACTAAGTAAAGTAAACAGTCTTACATAAGTGCGCACTGTAAATTATATCATTTACAAGTTTTCAACAAGTCGAGCTCCTGTAAAAATAATTTCTTCACATTCTACTCAGTGGTTGAATCATTTGACAAAACCGTGCTTTGTTCACTTTTGAGAGCATACTCCAGTTCTTGGCCACCAGTTCAGAATGATAATATCGCTAATAAATGGGAATGACCAAGGCTATTACTATTAGCACATGATTGTGCCTTTACGTCAAAATTGTAAATGGGTTTGGTTAAGTGTGATATTTACCCTTTTAACAGCAGTGGATTATTGTAGAATTTACCCTTGTAACCGCACTCCACTAGTGTGGAATTTACCCCTTTATTTTCAACTGCAACAATGCCCTTTCAACTCTTTGACAAAATGGGGCCAAGTGAATTACAAAGTACTATTTCATGCTCAACTGGCACTGGCTGGCAAATAAATAATGACAGCGTTACAGTCCCACAGTCCAACTCCAGACTACTTTATTAGGAGTTATAAATTTAGTTTTGTCTGGAGAAAATCCATGCAGTGTTAACCCTGCTATGATAGATTTAGAAATACATGATTTTACAGATTGAGGTCTCAAATAATACGTCTGAAATTAAATGTATGATTTCTCCTTCATCTGCATATACCAGTTATTCTTACCATACAAAAATGGTCAGCAAGTGTCAGCTCTACTTTTGAGCTTCCCAAGTTCTGTGTGATGATAGCCTACTTGGCTCTAAGGGACAAGTCAAAAACATTAACTAGTACCCCATTGAGGCCTCTTCACAATAAGAACAAGAACTGTCGGAGGACAGTATTGGCTTGACTATTCGAGAAAGTTGTCACAAGGGTGTTTTATTGAGTATAATAATGCTAATTACCTATGAATACATAAAATTGACCAAAAAGGTACAAAGGCTTGTTATTAAGATGTTTTATCAAGTAAATCACTGCTTTATTATTATGAATGTATAAAATTGTCCCAAAAAGGCACAAACCCTTCAGTAGTTATAGAGATAACAGCTTACAAGCAAAACTTTACCATGAATTTCTAAGTTGAAAAAGGGGAGAAAAATCAGTCTAAATGCAAGATAGAATTATGGATCTTGGTCAGTGACCTACAATTATGATTCTAAATGCATATGTGAAGTTTTAAATAAATATCTTTAATAGTTATTGAGATATGTAAAACTTGCATGTAAACATTAACCAAGAGACTAAGTAGAAAAGGGGAGATGAATCAGCCTAAATGCAAGATGGAGTTATGGAACTTGGTCAGTGACATACAATTATGACCCTCCAATTATGACCCTAAGTACATTTGTAAAGTTTCAAGTAAATATCTTTGAAGACCTTAAACCAAAATTTCTAAGTTTCAAAGGGGCAAATAATTCTGCAAATATTGCAAGCAGAGTTATGCAATTTTGCAAACTGATGTACATTGTTACTATAAACTAGAAATGTGTCCATAGGACACGGATGCCCCCACACGCCACTGTTCTGTCAATCTTATGACTCTAGGTCAAATATTTTTTGGACTACATGTGCCACAAGTTGAAAACTAAAAATCAACAAAGGGCCATAATTCTGTTAACTTTGGTCGCAGCAAAAATTCCTTCCTTTACTTCCATCTACACATTAAGGTTGTTAATCCATGGAAGTTTAAGCAAAATCTGCCATCTGGTTTAAGAGAAGTTGCGTTCACAAAATTTCTACATAGTATCTATAGTGAAAAAATCAACAAAGGGCCATAATTCTGTTAAATTTGGTCGCAGCAAAAATTCCTTCCTTTACTACCATCTACACATTAAGGTTGTTCATCCCTGTAAGTTTAAGCAAAATCTGCCATCCGGTTTAAGAGGAGTTGCGTTCACAAAATTTCTACGTAGTATCTAGACTAATAGTGAAAAAATCAACAAAGGGCCATAATTCTGTTAAATTTGGTCGCAGCAAAAATTCCTTCCTTCACTACCATCTACACATTAAGGTTGTTCATCCCTGTAAGTTTAAGCAAAATCTGCCATCCGGTTTAAGAGGAGTTGCAATCACAAGATTTCGGGACGTACGGACGGACGGACGGACGGACGGACAAGTGCAACGCTATATGCTCCCACATTGTGGGGGCATAAAAAGTATTGTAAATTTCAAATGAATATCTCAAGCAATAATTGAGATATTTGACTTTACAAAAAAACTTTAACCAAAATTTCTTGGATTTAGCTCAATACAGGATTGGAGCAGTACCTCTAGACGCTTGCAGAAATCATGATCACAAAATAGACAAATATCGTTTTTTTCGCCGAATTTTACATTTTTCCTTGATTATCGTACTTGATTCGGTGTGAAAAGATGACTTAGACATGTTAAAGTTCATTCCGTTGGGTAAAAAGACAAGATTTTAGCATTTTATCATTCAAGCGCCTTGTCCGGTATATACCGGAATACGGTATTTAGTGTGGTGCTCCAATCCTTTTTTTAGTCACAGCCAAATTTCTTAATTAAAAAGGGGCATAATTCTGTCAATATTGTCAGCAGAGTTATCCAACTTGTCAATCTGATGTACCTTGTTACTATAAATAAGTATTGTAAGTTTCAATTGAATATCTCAAGGAATAATTGAGATATTTGACTTTGACAAAAAAACTTTAACCAATGCAGACGCCGACGCGGACGCCGACACCGGGGCGACTACAATACCTCTCATATTCTTCGAATAGTCAAGCTAAAAATGAAATAAATTCTATAACAAAGATTTTTAAAGTTATCATTTTATATTTTCGAATCAAACATCAGTGGCACCTGATCATGTTCTGCATCATTCACTATTCAGTCAACATTTTTTTATTAAACATTTTCCGTAAAAGATGAATGGTTTTGTCCAGATTAAAAGATGGACAAGTCCATTTTCAGATATTTAATAGGATAAAGGTTAATCAAAGAAATTTGTAATAAAGACATCAATAGTTATATGGCCATGCAAAACAGTTGTTTGCTACTAAACACTGTGGTTGTGGTGGTTGTGTTGGTAGTTTTCACTCCAGATCACGACAGTAAGCCACATTGAATTTACAAGAGCACAGTTCAGCCAAGGCATCGTTCTCTGGCAGCCTGTTAAGCAGTTTACCGGAACTATTTGCCTCTACTTCTCAAGGAACTGATAACTTCTGTACATGCCAGAGCAGAGATACAGTGTGAATGATCGTAAAAAAGATTTCATGATCAATCACAATTAAAGTGACCTGCACCTTTGAGAATCAGTTCACAATCCAATGCTCTTCTTATTGAGGAAACCGGACAATTGCTGCTAAGACCTTGGTTATATGCTTTATATAATTCTACAACCACTTATACATGAATATATCTATGAGCCATATAACTTGTTCAAAAAATCTTTATTACTAATAAAATGAAACCACATGTACATCCTTATAATGAGGGTAGCAATTCAGATTGGCAATGAAATATGGCCATATATCTATAAATTAAAGAGACATACTTACTCAACATAGAACACTACTCCATCCTCACGTATCTTTCTTTCCCAGCCATATGGTAATTCTGCACAAAGTATAAAATAAAAGTTCTCATATCAATGATACATTACTGGTGCTATATCTAAATGACCATTCAAAATACAAACAAGAGCTGTCAGTAGGACAGCAACGCTCGACTATTCTTAGTGCTTGATAGTAAAAAAAAATGCTTGATACAGTTACCTCATCCTGTTTACAGGTTGGGGTCATGATGGTGAACAAGTGTGCAAAGTTTCAAAGCCATATGTCAATGGAACTTTGAAAATATTGAACTATTACAAAACTTTAACATAAAATTCTAAGTCGAAAAAGGGGCATAATTCTGTCAAAAATGCTTTGATAGAGTTACCTCGTCCTGTCTACAGGTTGGGGTCATGATTTTTGGTGAAGCAAGTGTGCAAAGTTTTCAAAGCATATGTCAATGGACTTGGAAAATATTTGAACTATTACAAAAACTTTAACATAAATTCTAAGTCGAAAAAGGGGCATAATTCTGTCAAAATGCTTGATAGAGTTACCTCCTCCTGTCTACAGGTTGGGGTCATGATGGTGAACAAGTGTGCAAAGTTTCAAAGCCATATGTCAATGGATTCATGCTAAACATCTAAGCTCTAGCTCATTGGGCTATTTAAAAGAAGATTTTTTTAAAGTTTTTACTATACACATATAGTTAAAAACAATGACACCCCTGGGGCCGGGCCAGTTATGACCCCAGGGTTTTTATTTGAACAAACTTTGTAGACACTTACTAGAATATGTTTCATGCTTAATATCTAAACTCTAGCTATTTGGGTTTTTTCAAAGAAGATTTTAAGTTTTTGCTATACACATATAAGGAAAATCAAAGACCCCGGGGCGGGGCCAATTTTGACCCCAGGTCTTTTATTTGAACAAACTTTGTAGACACTCACTAAAAGATGTTTCATGCTTAATATCTTAACTCTAGCTATTTGGGTTTTTTCAAAAAAGATTTTTTAAGTTTTTGCTATACACATGTAAGGAAAATCAATAACCCCCGGGGCGGGGCCAATTTTGACCCCAGGGCTTTTATTTGAACAAACTTGGTAGACACCTATTACAACATGTTTGATGCTAAATATCTTAACCATAGCTCTTTGAGTTCTTTAAAAGAAGATTTTTTAAGTTTTTACTATATGCATATATAGGGAAAATCAATGCACCCCCCGGGGCGGGGTCAATTTTTGACCCCAGGGCTTTTATTTGAACAAACTTGGTAGACACTTATTAGAACATGTTTCATGCTAAATATCTTAGCTCTAACTCTTTTGGTTTCTTTAAAAAGAGATATTTTTAAGTTTTTACTATATGCATATAGGGAAAATCAATGACCCCTGGGGCGGGGCCAATTTTGACCCCAGGCGGGCTTTTCTTTTGAACAAACTTGGTAGACACCTATTAGAACATGTTTTGATGCTCAATATCTTAGCCATAGCTCTTTGAGTTCTTTAAAAGAAGATTTTTTAAGTTTTTACTATATGCATATAGGGAAAATGAATGACCCCCCGGGGCAGGGCCAATTTTGAACCCAGGGCTTTTATTTGAACAAACTTGGTAGACACTCACTAGAAGATGTTTCATGCCAAATATCTAAGCTCTAGCTCTTATGGTTTTTTAAAAGAAGATATTTAAAGTTTTTTCTTTCGAGAGTTCTGCATGAAATTAAATTCTTTGAACAATTTTTAAAGGTGACCACCAAAGGAACATTCCTGTGAAGTTTGGATGAAATTGGCCTTGTGGTTTATGAGGAGATGTCATTTAAAGTAAAAGTTTACGGACGACGGACGGACGATGGACGAAAAGCGATCACAAAAGCTCACCCTGTCACTTTGTGACAGGTGAGCTAAAAAGGGGCATAATTCTGTCAAAATGCTTTATAGAGTTACCTCCTCCTGTCTACAAGTTGGGGTCATGATGGTGAACAAGTGTGCAAAGTTTCAAAGCCATATGTCAATGGACTTGGAAAATATTTGAGGTATTACAAAAACTTTAACATAAATTCTAAGTCGAAAAAGGGGCATAATTCTGTCAAAATGCTTGATAGAGTTACCTCCTCCTGTCTACAAGTTGGAGTCATGATGGTGAACAAGTGTGCAAAGTTTCAAAGCCATATGTCAATGGACTTTGAAAATATTTGAACTATTACAAAAACTTTAACATAAGTGGTTACGCCGACGCAGACGCTGACGCCGACGCTCGGGTGACTACAATAGCTCTACTTATTCTTATCGAATAGTCGAGCTAAAAAGTAATATAAAATTGTTGGACATGCCTTTTTCATTTATAGTTGAACAGAGTTCAGCAAAATCTTAGCATTACCTTCTTAATAGACACTTCATGTACAATTATACCTTCTTCCAACTTACATTGCTATGTTCACACCATGTTTAAACTTATTCTACATATCAGTGAAGAAATTTGACAAAATTTGACAAAAACCAACTTGTCAAAGCTGCTTTATAACTGTAAGTATAACCTCTGACAACTGCATCAGGGAATCGGTTCTTTGTCTCAGTGGTCCAGATCATTGTTACTTTTGCTTATAAGCTAGAGGTTGTTAGTTCAAAGCGTAGATGCAGCGGGGATTTTTCTGATGCATTTTAATTGCTCTGTTACAAACTAAATATATTTATTAGATGAGGGCTCCTTTGGGATGCCAAGTTACTGGAATTAGTTTGAAAACCAAAGTGGTGTCTGATTTAAACAAGAACCGGTTGTCCTGTGTGATGTTTCCCGAATAGGTTTAGAAAAGTATACCTCGTAGTTTCAGAGTTATGTCATGGACAAAGTTTGAAGTTCAATAATTCCAAACTTAGGCAAGACAGAGTTATTGTTCTTTGCAGTGCTCATCTACCCAATGATATCTAACCTACAAAGTTTCTTGTTCATATCTCTTACAATGTCACTGTTATGTCCCGGACAAAGTTCAAAATGTAAATATGAACAAAGGGCAATAACTCCAAAATAAGGCAAGGCAGAGTTATGGTTCTTGTGCACTGCACATCTACCAAATGAGATCTGTCTACTTACAAAGTTTCATGTTTCATGTTGATATTCATGTTGATATCTCTTATTTTAGAGTTCTGTCCTGGACAAAATTTAAAGTATAAAAATGAACAAACTCCAAAATTAGGCAAGGCAGAGTTATGGTTCTTGTTCACTGCACATGTACTACACGAGATCTATCTACCAACACAGTTTCATGTTGATAGCTCTTGTTGTCACAGAGTTATGTCCCTGACAAAAAAAGCGGACGGACGGATGGACAACCAGACGGACAAAGCAGCAACTATATGCTCCCTGAACCCTCCGTGCGGGTTCAGGGAGCATAAAAATGAAAGTTTTCTTCCTTAAAAGTAACTTTATCATAAATGATGACTTTTTGATGATGGGGTGTGTTAAAGTTGATTGCACACCTATTGTACTTATATAACAATAAGTACAACCTCCGACAACTGCTTCATGAAATCTATTGACACAGTGGTTTAGAGCATTATTACTTTTGTTTTCAAGCTAGTGGTTGGTAGTGGGAAATTATCATCTTTCTGCTATGAACTAAAAATGATTGTTAGACTCTCAAGCACCTAACAAGTGAACAACAGACAACTGACTAATGCTTGTATATCTACATATTCATGTGAGCTAACAGCATTGACATATTAAGTTTATATAAAGTTACCTCCTTTTACAGATTTTCTTTTCCCTGTAGTTGGGTGTTCCCACTGGGTCTTCTCTGTACTGTGACTGAAATATGATATAAATATTTCTTTTAATACTTTGACCTACCCAATAAGAATCAAGCATAATATTATCTTCTACTAAATTGTACTCATGTATAAATAAATAAAAATGTATTGAGGGGAAACAACACATCAAAGCACCAGGTGGTTTAAACTAAATGTATCTAAAATACGGGTTGCCTGTAATATATACCTATCATCAGGTTATCCAGTATAAATTTTCTGCTTGATACATGTATAATACTAGTCGTAGTAAAGTTAACCTTGTTGTAGACATTTCTGTTAACTGGGAATTTTTGATTGATGGCCTGTGTTTTTTTGTTGTGTGTGTTATGATTATTATATAGATAAAATTTTGTTTGCATGTTTTATACTGCCATTACTGAGGTTTATATATTCATATCAGCCAAATAAATGTAAAAACAAAATATGAATGTTGTAATAGATCTTTTCAAAAACCTAGCTAAACACCGTTTACTTGAATGTTACTGATTTAGCTCTGGAGAATTACATAAAATGAAGTACATGTACATAACACTATTACATGATATTTCTTTTTTTTTCTATCATTATTTTGCCGTTTAAGGTGAAATACTTGATGTGTTTGAAAATTATTTATGTTCCTTTAATATCTATTGCAAATTTTTCAAAAAAATAAGTTGTTTATAATGAAAATCGAAAAAATTAAAATATTTGTAGTGGCATCTTCCCTACTAAAATAGATATTTTCTGAGTAAACTTGTGTATTTCCTTTATTTTTTGTATTGAATTATTCATTCAATGATATTTAATTACTTTCTTACAATGTAATGTAATAACTGTTTTATTTCACTTTCATTTAACCCATTACGCGATATACACGCCTTTTAACGTCTTTTTCACCCCACCCCCTTTTCGTTATCTCAAATGGTGAAAAAATGCCTTATTCAGGCCCCCAACACGTGTTTTTGTTTGAGAAATGTTGTTAAAAAAAGTGACTACTTTTTCAGCGCGGCCCCCCAACCAAAAGGGGGTTGCCAGAAGAAGGATGTGCCCCCTTCTGTTTGGGGGGTTTGAAGGGAGGCGGAGTCCCCCTCATCGCCAAGAAAATTTTGGACTTGAGAGGCTAAAAATGACCCAAGATCGATCATAAGGTAACGTGTAACCAACGCTGAAAAGAATTTGACTCTATCTCAATCCATTAAGAAGTTGCAGCACTTTGAAATCATTTTGATGGAAAAAATCAATGCAAAATAGTGATTTTTGGCAATTTTGAGATGTCCCCTCATTGCCATGGTAACAGGAAATTTATGCCTGAGCATGTTGTTGCAAATGCAATGGTCCAGTCAACTCTTGTGCCAAGTTTGATTAGTATTGAAGCAGTTTTTATAGTTTTATAGCAGTTTGAACTTGTAACGGGAGACTTTTCAATGAAAACAGCCATTTTTTCACAAAATACTCATGAAGTAATGGGTTAAGAAAGACCAAAAACATTGAGTTCGTTATTACACTCCATTAGGTGATTCCCCAGAGCTATGTACAGAAAGTACCGGAAAACGGTGTTTAGCTAGGTTTTCGAATTCGTGAATTGGATTTCATGATTTGTTTGAAGTTCATACCCTTGTCTTTATATATGGTATATACATTTAGAAATTGTTCCTAATCTTTCTGTTACAAGTCATCATAAGAAGCAGTCAACAAGATGACAGAAAATTAATTGTTGAATATTATTTAGTAGATCTTCAAAACATATGATGCTTAAATACTTAAAATGGTCACTTAAAGCTCAAAGATCTATTAATTATTATGTATATAACAACATGGGGAAGTCAAAGACTGGGACCGCAAAGCGGACCCAGGTTTTGGCTTGCCCGGCTTTGTATCCTACACGTGTATATAAACTATATTTAAAAGGAAATCAAATAAAAAACAATTAAAAAATATATAGAATCTCTAGACCTATCAATGAAATTTTCTGTCACTTCTGATTGTGCGCCGCCATATTCAATGTAACTAAATGATAAATGGCAGGGTATTCTGATGACAGAACAATTGCAACTTTTCGGGTTAATAATAATCATCGAGTGCTTCGAGTGAAAACAGAAGCAGTGTGTAAAATACCAATGACACCTTTACAACCGAAAATGACAGTTTTTTTTTTTTTTAACAACTTTCCTGTTCATAGGCTTTGCCTAATTTCATATTATAATGTTTCCCCAGAGTTGACATCTGTTGCAATTAAAGAGAGATAAAGAGGTTGTTTTGAATTGAATAATCAATTGTGTTAATTTCTGGAAAAAAAATCAAAATGGACAAACTAAAGGTTAAAATTATGTAGAAAACATTTAATTAAATGAATATATAGAGTTGGTGCAATATTTCAGTCACTATTATCTTTGCTACCAGTGTGTATCCGAAATATATGCAACTATCTTCTATCCTCGCGAAAATATATGACAAATCATCATATAAAACAATGGCATGTTTATTAAAATTCAATCTTTTACAGATATGAAGTAACAGTTAAGGCTTTACTTTGCGTAATAAACTTCTCCGTCTAAAGTCACCCTCTCTTCCCATCCGGCCGGTATTTCATCTTCACTGTCAGTGTCCAAAGTTGGGTCAGCCATCTCTATTTCTTAACTAAGTATTGCACTACTAAATTTCATTTAGTTTTGTATGAAAGGCTTAAACGATAGCCAAAAACATAAGTACAAGGTCAGAAACTAATTGTAAGTTCATTCCTTAATAAAGTTCTTTCAGGATAAGACTCAAATATTAAAATTTCTGACTTTGGATTATGTTTTAACACACATAGATCTTATATACAGGTCTAGTGACAATTCATGAGCTTTGTGACTATCTAATCATATTTCCGCTACGAAGGCCATTCGCTGGAAGTAAGATGACCCAAACATGTCATCATAATAAACATTAACATCTTTATTTCTTTGTAAATGAAAAAGCGAGGGAGTGGTTAGTCATCCATTTAGTGATACATTGTTCAACTTACTGTATAAATTGTAGCTAATTATTGTGGAGATGCAATAATTGAAAAATGGACAAATTCCTTTAACAGACACTGTTAAAACATTCTAGTGTTCCAGGGTTTACTTCTTTTTCACTCGACATACCACATTTTATGAACATTTACTGGATTGATGTATATGTCGCCTACATGCATGTATCCTTGTTTTCAGCAGAAAATGACCTGTGCATGTATACATATGCAAAGACGGTACCGTTTTAATAGTAGATTTCGCAAAAAGGGTACCGATATGGATATGCACCGTTAAAACAACGTATCTCTAAATCATAGACAGTTAACTACATGTGTGCATTTTTAATTGCGTTCTTTTTTCTATATGTATATTTCTCGATTCAAATGTCATTACTTAAAAACTGTTGAAAGTTACACCGCAATGATGACTTTAAAGTTGAATAACGTTTTCTTGTGCAGCGTTAAAGGCACTTTTAATGCTCTTCATAATACCATTTCTTAAACATCCATTGAAGTTACCATACTTGCTATGTGAGACAGAGTGTCATCCTAAAACTCTAACGGTGTTCTTTGTTGCTCTGTTTGCGAAAGTAATTTGTATACCTACCTTTAGTTTTAATGAGGTATGGTAAGCAAAGTTTTGAAAGATAAAATGGAGCTCTGAGATTTGTTCTCATAACATTGTCGAACTCTTCCATAGTCGTATCCAATGTTGTATGATATGCTGTTATTGCTGCATTGTTACTCTGGTAAATAAAATAAAATTATAATGTGAGCCGCGCCATGACAATGCCAACATATAGTGCTTTTGCGACCAGCATTGATCCAGACCAGCCTGCGCGTCCGCGCAGTCTGATCAGGATCCATGCTGTTCGCTATCAGTTTCTCAACTTGTAACAGGGTTTGTAAGACAACAGCATGGATCTTGATCAAACTTCTCGGATGGGCAGGCTGGTCTGGATCCATGCTGGTTGCAGACGCACTATGTTTGTTTTGTCATAGTGCGGCTAATTATGTATCATTTAAATACATTATCGATGATTTTCAAGAGAACATTAGCATGACTTTTGATCCAGAAAAAAACAGGTGAATTGATAATTGATACAAGAAAACAAGAAAATAGAAGACAAAAAAGAATCCCTTAAAAAACGTCCGAAACGGCAAAATTGAAATGCTGCAGATTCCGTTTATGTAAGCCTGTTCATGAACGGTACTGGAAAAATCAAGCTACCGTACAACCCCCCCCCCCAGCACCGGCTTAAGGAGAATTTTAACATTTAACAAAAAAATGGAAAAAAATGTCTACCCTCCCTCCCAAATAAATTTTACCATCAAATGTTACATTTTTTCATTATACATTGTACGTCACTTACTAGAACATCCAGTTGTCCAAACTTGTCTATGGCACTCTTTACAACTCTTTCTTGGTCTGTATCAATTGTTACGTCAGCAACCACTAAAAGAAGCTGGGAATAAAAAACAATCAATTTATTGTATACAACTGATTGCAATATTGTCTGTGTTTATTGTCTGTGGCAATATATATATTTTATATAAATATATCATTTTTTAGTTTTTGTGGGAGATGAAGGTAATTAAATTAAAAGCATATACCAAATATTAAAACATGTTTAAAATGAAAAATACTGCATTTTACATGGTTTTGAGAGGTAGGAGGGTTGTAGAGTGGGTGAGAGGGGGGGGGGGGTGGCCCGGGGGTAGTGACCAATCAACGCGCCGAACACCTTTGCTGTGATCTTTCAACAATGAAGCCATGGAATTCGCTGATATGGAAAAATGACCAAATACTGTTGTGAAATGTGTACAAGACGTAGCAGACTTTGGAAATGCAGAATGCAGAATCTCCCTTATATTTATAAAATTTGTTTGAAAAAAGTGCACTTATTTGGAAAACGTGGACATCTAACCATTTGATATTGCTTTTTTTATCGAATTGCGACAACTTGTCCTCTTTTTAATACCTCGTTTTTAAGTTGATAAAATGGCGGAGTCACTGGGTTGAAAAATACATTCTCTGCTAGATAAGGCTGATTTATCTGTCTTACAAACGTGACTGACTTTGACCCGGGTAAAGGATAACATCTACGGTATGTTTGCATTTTTCAAATGTACTTATTTTATAAATTTTAATGCATATGCTATATTTGTCGAAGTGTATCAGCTATTTTACATACACGGTATTTGTGTTCTGCTCAATCTATGAACTATTTTAGTCATATACTGTAGGTTTGCACGACTTCAATTACACCGTGGTTTAAGTAAGTTGACGGATACTATTTTCGCCACTTACTACAAGTTGAAGATGCGTCTAAATTCATGTCTTGAGAGACACTTTCAAATCGCCACCAGAGGGACTCTACACGGGTTGGGATAGTGTAAAATAAATATACTGTACATGTATATATAATATATATAATATATACTATTCGAACACTGTGTCGAGTCCCTGTGACCTTGATGCAATCCGCTGGACAAAATGTGATTCTTCGAAATCATATCACTCACAACAAAATTACATGAAAACTGCAGACTCGGTTTGATTGCGTCTGTACATGAGGGATAATGAAGTCTGTACATGAGAGATTATGGAGTTGATCATTAACCTATGAGGAATATGAATGATCGTGACTCTAGTATGATTCGAACCCATGCCCCTGTGTTGCTAGGCAGACAAATTAAACACTAGCGTAACTTTCGACTGGCACCATTTGTTATTTCATGTTCTTGTTAGATAAACAACGTATTTACACGAGTAATAAAATACGATCTTTTAACGGAAATACAAATCTAATTTATTTGCATTATGTTAAATAACATTTTTTTAAATACTTGTTTAATTTTGTACATTTCAGGGATGGCAAAGATGGCCAGCACTGATATACCTCCCGAGTGTGGCACGGATATTAGAAAGGAATTTATGCTACGTGAAAACTGCGTGTACCTAAACCATGGTTCATACGGAGGTATTCCAAGATGTGTACATGAAAAACAAGTCAGGTACGTTACACTAAAATATGGTAATAATAATAATGATGAATGATGAATGATGATGATGATGATGATGATGATAATGATAATAATGATGATGATGATGATGATGATGATGATGATGATGATAATAATAATAATGATGATGATGATGATGATGATGATAATAAAAATAATGATACAGGTAATAATAATAACAACAACAACAATAATAATAATAATAATGATCATAATGATAATAATGATAAAAATACATGTTATAAAAATAATCCAAATTGAAAGCAATGTTGAAAGCTACTTAAATTTTTTGTCAAATGCATTGACTACTGGATGTTTCCCCTTTTGTCGTCAGAACATTGAAGGAAATTTCCGTATAATAATAATAATAATAATAATAATAATAATAATAATAATAATAATAATAATAATAATAAAGACTTTATTTAACGAGAGAACTCATTTGAACAAACATATCAATCTTCCATGAGGCCCTCAACAAGGAACAATGTAAATTTAACATATTCAAACTATTAAAATACATAAATGTAAAAACATACAGGAGATTATCAATTTGTATACATGGATGTGTGATAATACCTCAAGTATAAGGTTTTAAAATGGTTAACAGATGTAGCAGACTTAATATAATCAGGAAAGCCATTCCAAATACAAGATCCAGAATAAACAAAAGACTTACAAAATTGTTCAGTATTTGGTCTAGGGGTTTAAAGTTGAAAATCTGATGATGAACGCAATATGTGAGTATGAACATCTGACGATAAAATGAAATTATTCAATAAATAGGTAGGCGCCTGATTATTCATTATCTTTAACATCATAATAGCTTTTTGAAAAACAACCCTCTGTGAAAAGGCCATCCAGCGGAGTTCAGAAAAAAGTTCAGCAGAAGGAGTGTCATAATCTTTGTCTAGAATTAGTCTTGCAGCTCTCGTTGGAACTTAATGAGTTTATCTTCTAGAAAAGACGTACAGTTACCGTAAATTATGCAACAATAGTCAAGATGTGGTAAAATATAAACATTGTTAAACATTTTACGTACAGGTATAGATATGAATAATTTAATACGTGATAATAAATGTAACAATGAGTTACACTTTTTAAGAACATTATCAATATGGCTTTGCCAAGACAAGGTGTTATTAATTGTAATACCCAATAATTTTTCTTCAGAGCTACAAAAAATTTGCTCTGTTTTATATAAAATACAAGGATTACTTTCATGGATATAATTTTGCTTGTGTTTTGAGGAAATATACATAACCTTAGTTTTGTTAACATTGATAGACATGCGATTCAAATCACACCATTTGTTGGCATTTAAAAGATCATGAGTAAGAGATTCAACTACTCTGTTTAGGGATACATCAGAGGTTGAAAGAGTATTGTATTTCATAATTTAGATTCCTAGATTCACATATTGTAATCATCAAAGCTTAGAACTTACTTTAAAAGAAATTACAGTTTTCAGTTATTACACAAATATAACTTTACAAATATGTCGTACTTAAAAATTTCACAGCGTCAAATATGGAATATAATGGATAGTCACGTGATAGCGACTGATAAATAACTATAACATTTATTTGGCATTATATTTATTAAGATATTCGCATTATATTTATCAAGATATCTAGAAGAACTCGAGAGTCATCCTGATAGCTGGTTCCGGTATAAATCGTTCGAATATGTGCGCAAGTCTAAAGCAAAGGTAGCCGAGTTCATGGGTATCCAAGCAGACGACACGTTCTTTATCCAAAATGTTACTAAAGGTAGGTTTTGGTGGTGTGCAACCTCCGCTCTTTTTGCATCCCTCGGCTATTGTACATAATAATTTTCATCTGAAATTTGACGGAAAAGGCCGAGAAGACGCGATTTTCCATTTACCTTGCATGATGCAATTTACTATTTTCTTTTAATAATACTCGTCGTCATTTTCATTAAAATTTGAAAAGTAAAATATTAAGGGGTTATGAAATATTCTGCAGAATGTTTACTATAACGATCTCCTCAGTTGTTTCTTTTCTTGTACATGTACTCGATTCTGAAAAATATATGTGAAATGTTCACGAGGCCAGATAAGATTCGAACCTACGATTCCGGTTTTAAAACACAGGAACTAGTACTGAGAAGTGAATAATAGATAATGTTCAAATTATGAAAGGTCTGACTTTATTTATCAATTTTACTGATATGCATTATAGCAATTAATACTGTGATGAAAACGTTTCCTCTAAAACCTGAAGACGCTTTCTTGATGAATTCGTTGACGTACGGAGCTGTTAAATTGACGGCGCGTTCCACTGTCAATAGAATAGAAGGTAAGAGAAAATGACGTCATGACGTAACTGCTTATGTCTTTACATAATTTTTATTATTATTTAAGAAACTCCGCTGAGGACAAAATTCCTAAAACCATCCAATATGAAATTCTTACTTGTCAACTTGGGCACTTAGAATGAAAAAAATCTGCAAAAGGTATATAAAGAATTAAAGGGACTCCACTGAGGTTTTTTGACATGATGGGACTGAAAATATTTTTTCTCAGATAAATGTACCATTAGATGTAGGTGTAGACCACGAATCTTTGTGCAAACTTTCAGATCATTCGCGCACTTCGTTTTTCTATAATAATTATTCAAATTGTAAAAAAATGACCCAAAATGAAAAGCGTTTAAACGCTTTCACTCAAATTAGGCTAAGAAAAGCATAAAACTACGGTTTTTATATTTATTTTAAAGTATATTTCTTAACTATCTTTGGATATATTTCTGTTCAAAGAGCTTCAGTTTATTTATGTAAGAAATTCTAATGTTATGTTTTTAGGTTTTTAAACCTCAGTGGTGTCCCTTTAAATTCAGAGTTAAATTAATTTTTAAAAAAATTTAGTAGGATTCTAGCTTAGCACTTTTCAGAAAGAAAAGCGTTGCAAGGCTTTTCATTTTTTAATCATTTTGTACAATAAAGATGATTTTATTCTTTGAAAACGGAATGAGAGGATGATCTTAAGTTCTACATCATGTGGTAATCGAAAAAATATATAAAAAAATCCATTTTTTTTCATGCCCCCCCCCCCCCCCCAAAAAAAAAGGAGAAAAAACCTCATTGGCACCAGGATATCAAACTCCTTTGGTAATGCAAGATTATTATAACAAAAAAGAGTGATTCAAAGACCTTAAGCTTTTTGAATTTGAAAAATTAATGTAATAATGGCATTTCCATTTATATGTCGACTTTATATCTATTTTAGTACATTTTGTAATTTTAGTACATTTATTTTAGAACATATAATTTAAAAAGTTAAAAACATATTTTATCATTACATACATTTTGTAATATTTTAAGGAACAAAACTATACCAAGTTGACATAGATTTCCCTGATACCGATGAAAATTCTGTGGTACAGAAGTATGAGGAATTCCTAGCTATACACCCGGATGTTAAACTTGCCGCACTAGGTATGCACTAAAAATTTTGCATAAACATTTTTTATAAACAAAATTAAAAACATTTACATACAATTAAAACAAATTGCATATCATTTCAAAAAATCAACAGATACTGTACAAATTATTAACACATATTGCCTGTATAGTATACCGCGAAAGTGTTGGCCAACCCGTTTTAAAGGCCCATTATGTCCCTTTTTTATTTTTCAAAAGCTTTTATTTTGTTGATGTCCTATTGTAGTTTCTAAAAGCTACTATTTGGTCATTTACATGAACCATTATTAGCTTCTTTTGCTTTTTGGAACTTAGTACAGTTATGATGATCTAGTATTTTGTATGGATGTCAAACTACTACTTTGTTTACATTTTGCTACCTTTAAGGTAAATAATTTCACATTCAGAGTTTCATTATGTTGATAAAAAGCATTTAACATACTCTAAAACTATTATTTAAACGTTATAATATTAATGTTTGCCCTATCTAATGCAGTAACATTTATTCATTTCTTGGGCATAATGTGCCTTTAATATGCCTGTACATTATCTTGCTTTAGATAATTGCTATCAGTTATTATACATTGTTAAGTACAATACTGAGTTCTATTGGACGAGTACATAGCTGACAAACCTATATTGGACGTGTTGCTAAGTGGTATATCAGTCCAATATGAGTCCAATAGAATTCAGTATTGTTCTCAACAATGTGTCTTGCCATTTTTTAGCTCACCAGAGCCGAAGGCTCAGGATCAAAGGGGGATGCTCCGGCGTCCATCGTCCGTCGTCATGCGTCAACAATCGTCTTCTTCTCTGAAACTACTAGGCTGATTTACTTCAAATTTGGTCTGTAGCATCCTTTTTACAGTCACACTTGAATTTGTTACTGTCATTCCAATTGGCTCCTTTTAGGGGTCAGCAGAACTAAAAAAATATAAAAAACCCTTTAAACATCTTCTTCTACGGTACTAATTGATGTATGATCACCAAACTTTGTCTGTAGCATTCTTGGGTAGTCGTTCATCAAGTTTGCTCATATTAATTTGATTGGCCCCTTTTAGGGGTCTCTAGGGCTAAAAATAGAAAAACCTTTAAACATCTTCTTCTACAGAACTAATTGATGGATGATCACCAAACTTTGTCTGTAGCATTCTCGGGAAGTGTTTTATCAAGTTTCCTCATATTAATTTGATTGGCCCCTATTAGGGGCCACTTAAGCTAAAAACATAAATACCGTTAAATGTCTATTTCTAGAGAACTAATTGATGGATGATCACCAAACCTTGTCTGTAGCATTCTTGGATAGTCTTTTATCAAGTTTGCTAATATTATTTTGATTGGCCCCTTTTAGGGGCCGCAAAAGCTAAAAATAGAAATACCTTTTAATGTCTATTTCTACAGAACTAATTGATGGATGATCACCAAACTTTGTCTTTAGCATTCTTGGGTAGTCTTTTATCAAGTTTGCTCATATTAATTTGATTAGCCCCTTTTAGGGGTCTCTATAGCTAAAAATAGAAACACCTTTAGATATCTTCTTCTACAGAACTAATTGATGGCTGATCACCAAACTTTGTCTGTAACATAATCTTGGGTAGTCTTTTATCAAGTTTGCTCATATGAATTTGATTGGCTCCTTTTAGGGGCTGCTTAAGCTAAAAATAGAAATACCTTTAAATGTCTATTTCTACAGAACTAAACCTTCGAACATCATTTCCTACTGAAATAATTGAGAGATGATCACCAAACTGTAGCATTTTTAGGTAGTCTTTTATCAAGTTTTCTCATTTTAATTTGATTAGCCCCGTTTAAGCTAAAGCTTAAATGCCCCAGGTCATGGCATTTCTTCAAATTATTGTTTAAACATATTCTATGCTCAAATTTAATATTAGAATATATTGACATTCCAACACTGAAAAGCAGTTGTTTCTGGTGAGCGACTCAGGGCCATCATGGCCCTCTTGTATTTCATACCACCATTTTGACAGAACTTTGTTACTTCAGTTACAATAAGGACTTGATATGGATATTTTTGACTTTCAAAAATGAAAACGAGGGTATTTGGGATGTTTATAACTTTATTTATCATTTTTTGTGTGTCTAAACATACATACGTGTTATCTTACCTTTTATACAGATCACATAACTAGCCCCACCTCTGTTGTTCTGCCAATCAAACGTATCATAGAGGTGTGTCACAAACACGAAGTTGTTGTTGTCGTGGACGCCGCTCATGTCCCTGGTCAACTGCAAGTTGATATACAAGACATTGATGCCGATTTCTATTGCGGTGAACATATTTTTTTTACTCCCAGATGTTCAGTGTGAAAAAAACTACCAGACTTTCTCACTATGAGTTGGTAAAATGAAAGAATATAGTTAAGTATTTATTAATGCCTTTCACAGAGTACTAGACTGAACGAAAACATATTTTATAACGATTTTAGTATGTGCAGCTAATAAACGAATGTTTTCCCTGTGGCCCTGCGTTAAAATATTTTTATATTGAGTTTAAAAAGTTTAAAGACCGTCATAGATTCTATGTTAATGTGGAATTTTCAGATGTTTAAAGCTATTATGGTTATATCAAGTATTTCCATTCATTTTAGGTACGATGCACAAATGGGCGTTTAGTCCGCGAGCGTGTGCCTTCATATGGATGAACCCAAAACGCCACCATGCCTGGTTCAGACCCCTCATTACATCAAAATTTGAAAACGAGGCTCTTCAGGATGCTTTTTCATTTGAAGGTTTGCTCTGTTTCAAAAATGTCTGTACAAAAACATGTAATTATATTTTATTCATGCCTACCTAAAAATGTTTATCGTTTAAAAGCATGAAGCAAATTTCTGCCTGTACAGTAAGTTGTAGAACATAGGCCTACAGAAAGAAACTTTAGATTTAATTTATATCTGGCTGGCACCTAAAAAGAAGATTAATTGCAAGAACAAAACCTTTACAAATATCTTTATGTAACGGTATCGAGTTTGCAATTTTATTTATCCTATAGGCGTTAATAATTGATAAATTCAAGTTCTTGTAGTTTTTGGATAGCAGAATATTATATTAGAAAGAAGAATTTTGACAAGTTATATGGTCATATGTATATATAGCCCGATCCTTACAAGAAATAGATCTACCCTGAAAGGGTAAATGCAGAGATGTTTAATTCACCATTGCATGCATCGTTTAATTATCAAAATAAACCATTCCCATCCATTTGTTAATCATTTAGATTATTCAAAGTTGTTGAATACTGATAAAATGTATTATTTTGTTGTTGCTTTTTTTTGCCAAACGCAGATTGCGCATGCGCGAAATGCTATTTCCGTATTGTAAAAATGTCAGCCGTATAAACGTCACGATTATCAAACGGGGACCGTTCTCTCAGTGTTTAAAAATTAAGCCTAGAATACAGAAATACACAGAAAATCCATGAAAATCGACGTTTGAAACAGAAACATGCAGTTGTTTTAGATTAAATGCATTAATATCTTTTCGAACTGGAAACGAATGAAATACATGTATATGAGGTGCCTCAAATATATTGACTAGAATACAGCAGCATTTACATACATAATCTATGGTGCATGATTTGGTACATTGCGCGTTGTGTTTTCGATAGTCGCGCTGTCTTCATATCGTCCTGTCTCTAGCGAAACACGCCAACTGGCGCGTTGTCGTGCGACGCGTTGTTGCGATATCACCTCGTCGCTTGGTATATAACTTATCCTTCGATTTGAATCGGGCGACAATGTGACATCGCGACAACACGCCGCACGACAACGTGCCGTTTGGCGTACACCGTTAGCGACAGGACGACAAGATGAAAGTCCGACAACGTGCCTATTGGCGCTTTGTCATGTTGTCGCTAGCGCCAACACGTCGCACAAAAGCGTTCCAAATCAGCCACCATAGTAATTGGAAAAAAAAATCAAAATAGCAATTACTAGTTCGTGTTGATATCCACAGGCACTAATGACGACACGCCCTTCATATGTTCTGCTGATGGAATCGAATACATGAATCGGATCGGTGGAATGGTAAGCTTTAATATTGATATCTATATAAAATAAAAGATAAACTGGAGAATAAATAACCAACTATATGGGAGAATGAGGCGTGGCCAGTACACTCGGTTAGAAAATAAGATACATTTATAAGTTAACATTTATTTAAGTAAAAAAGAGATTCTTTTAGAGGGTAATTCAGGGTAGATAACTTACTACATGTACATGATACCATAGGAGTAAGGACTGGTTAACTAACGTGCATGGTGTAAAGCACCAAAATCAAAGCACAGAAGGCGCTGAATTTGTTGCGTCTCAGAATGTCAGAAAGGTGAAGGTTGCGAGATTATAAACCGATTAGTTTTTGTATAGTGCCACCAATGCTTTCCAGCGTTTTAATTGTAGTAAATTGGCTATAAGACTAATTGCAACACTGATATTCAATTCAATGTTTATTTGACTTAAACAATTTGAAAAAAAATGCCTTAACTGGGATTTGAACTCCAGACCTTTCGCTTCCTAAGAGAGCGGGCAAACCCCTCGGCCACGGTGAGGTTATATGAAGAGAACCATATTATTCTAAATTAGGGTTGGAACTCTTATTCTATCGACTTTAACACAGATCTAAATAATCATGGAGCTTACTATAAGCATGTATATCTATAAAGAATAAAACAATATTAGAAATCTTCGACCATTCGGGAACTATTTTGCTTGAAAATTAATGCGCCTGTCATTTGACCATCTTTACGCAGTGATCTCCCCTGAATTTTTCGGCGTTAGTGTACATATAAAGGGAAGTAACCGCTTCAAAAAAAGCGGACTACTTTCGGCATTTGCAATTAACAGCATCAGGGTCTGAAATTTCGCTACCATTATTTGTTTGGTCTGACGACCCAAACAAATAAAAACGAGTCCGCGACTAAAAGTCGTTAATAGTTTCAGTTGGAGTAGTGTGGAATCTTTAATCGCAACGCATTTCACGAGCAGAAAACAAATTAGCCGCGTCACGACAAAACCAACATAATTGGTTTGCGACCAGCATGGACCCAGACCAGCCTTACAGACCCTAAAACAAGTAAAGAAACTCATAGCGATGTGCAGGCTGGTCTGGATCCATGCTGGTCGCAAACCCATTATGTTGGTTTTGTCGTGACACGGCTCAATTATTCCCTTTGCTCTTTGATTCTACCTTTTAATATAAATTAAAACAATAAATACATGTTCTCAAAGTACTGCTTTTACTATTGTATAAAAACAAGATATTTTCAGGACAAAGTAGTGCAATATAATTCCATGCTGGTTAGTAAAGGAGTCGAGTACCTTGTAGAAAAGTGGGGGACCAAACGTCTGTCGATTCCAAAGAACATGGAAGCACCCTGCCTACGAATAATTTATCTGCCATATATACCCGGATTCTCTGACCGTTTGGTAAGCAGCTTTACTGAACCTTGTCATAAAGCAATATTACTGTTTCTAAAATTGGTCTTATAATATACATGTATGTGGCGCCGTTCGTTATGTCGCAACTACGTTTTTATGTCGCATTTGCCGCTAAATATCGCGCTATTGTCGTTTAATGTCGCAACCGCCGCTATTTAAATGTCTCAAAATATTTTGCCGATAAAAAATTAAACGTTAAATGTCGCAATGATAAACGGCGCATCAAGAGTTTGAACATTAAGCCTCGACGTTTTATTCCGGGGAATGTCTTTTTTAACAAGTCGCAGCTGAAAATTGCTATTACTCGCCGCAGTATTAAATATGAGACAGTTGTTGAGGAACGGAAAATCGCGGCCTACAATGTTTCCTTTCACTTTTTGTAGAATAACACTTGCAAAAAATATCGCGGATTTCTTTCTGTTCCTCCACTTTTTTTAGACACACGAGGAGTATAATGTGGAGTCAAACTATGGACGCTACCGGCCACTGGTGTCATAATGTTTGTTGCTGTTTCCAAAAGTATCGAGGTTTATACGTTCCCCGCAACATTTTTACGATTTCGGTAGAAAATCTCGCGGGTTTGTGAAATGGCCGCAACTGGCCACCATATCGACGTTCCGTAAGCTAGCCGGATAGCATCCTCACATAAAAGAACTCAAAGTCCCTGTCAGGATTCGAACCCACTAACTCATAGTGAGAAAGTATTTCAGTTATTTCACACTGAACATCTGTGAGTTAACAAAAATATGTAAACAAGTAATAGAAAGAGCACCGAAACACGAGGTTATCTGATTTGTACGAGGGGGCGTAGCCCCCCGAGTATATTAATCAGATTACCGAGTGTTTTGGTGTTCTTTCTCTTTTGTATCATAGTCAAACATAAAAACACGTTCCCTGTTGTTACAATATGAAACCCCGGCAAAAATGAACCAATGAACGAGCATCTAAATATGACATTTCTGTCGATTTCACTTTCACTGCCGTCACAATATGTAAACCCCAGCAAAAATGAGCCAATCAATGGGCATGCTCTGGAGTGTGGGTAACTACATGTAATACCCGCACTCCAGTTAACGCACTGTGCATGTATATGTATACGATTTAACCCTGGCACATTTTCAACAGAAAGGTCTCCAAACTATGATACAAAGGTACGTAAAGCAATACTATTATAATTATGCACCTAACATGTAGCGTAGTTGCAAACTATACTTTAATCAATGTATTTTTACATTTTAATTGCAAACGAAAGGGACATTGAAAGTGAATTGGTCTTTGATGAGAAAGTATACAATACTATAAATATTTATGTTTATAGTATTTAGTATCATGTGCGATAACAAACAAAGAAATAATTATATGTTGATTTTAATAATAACATGCTCTAGAACAAAATATTATTAATTCATTATAAAAAAAAAGTCATATAAAATCATGTAGAACTAGATAAACATTTTTGTTCAAAGAAACATTTCTTTAGAATGTAATTTCGATACGTTTCTATTGTTTTTATCAATATTAGAAACATTTCTTGCAAAATGTGCCCATGGTGCTACGATTTAGGGAGCGTTTCTGTTGTCTTTATCAATATTTGAAATATTTCTTGAAAGTGTGCCCATTGTGCTACGATTTAGGTAGACGAAATGATGTAAAAGTCGAATGAGTTAGAAAACGAGTAATAATTAAGGTTCCAACTTCAACTTATATTAGTTTCTTTTTCCTGAAGGAGGTAGATGTAACTGGCGTGCTTAAAAGTAAGATTAGCGGCGAGCTTCAGAAGTTGATACTGGATGAATTTGATATTCAGATTCAGGTCGCAGTAACAGAAGGTCAGCTGGTTACCAGGGTAGCAGCACAGGTCTACAACACCATGGAGGATTTTATCAAACTTGGGGAAGCAGTGACGTCACTAACTAAATCAAAACTTAAGTCACAATGTTAAGTTGGAAACAATACGGTTAAAATATAGCGGGAAAATTGTATAAGTAAATTCGTGATAGCAGTGTCAAATATTCTTTAAAAAATCACCAACTGATTAAATATCTTAGACTTTTTTATGAATTTCGATATTTTAGGTTTAACATATGTTTTAGAAGAATGCCAACTTCATACCTGACTGCACTAGGAAGGATGTACTACCAAATACATGCCTATATCTAAACATTTCTATGCTATTACGCACTCGCCTTTATTCGAACACTTATCTTCTAAACTTATCTGACAAACTGTCCGGTTAGCTCATTACGTAGAGTGTTGGACAGTGAATAGGGCGACCTGGGTTCGATGCCCGGACGGTGCCATTCACTTTTTTTGTGATTTATTATGGAGTATCTGAATTCAGATGTAAACAGTAACAGATAGTGTAATCTTAGATAATGTAAAACGAATGTACATTTGTATATATATTTGACATCCAAAGGACAATAAATTCTGTATCGGTACACGTATGATTGAAAATATGTCTTACAACCATTTTTAATTTAAAAATGCCCACTGATGTACAATTTTAAACATTGACTCATTGTCAACAGGCTGGCATTTTGAAAAAGGGAACCACCATTATTTGGCTAAACTATCATACAAAATTCGTCTGTGAAAAACTGAAATGAATGCGTTTGCATGTCGACTTATCAGTTATCAAGCCAGTTCGAAAAGTGAGATAATTTATTGTAGCAGCAACACCTTTTTATATGTACATAATTATTTAGTATTATTAAAGTGAATTGTTATAGATCACCTTTTGGCATATAATAACACATGAATGGTGATATGTCCGGATCTACACTCTCAGTTCCTATAAAAGGGTGGAGGACACGCACACATGTTTTAAAGGAATTCCTCATAAATACATAAAATTTGAATGTCTTAAATAAATCAATTTTTGAACCTAAATGGACCAATAAAATACTCAGAATGGAATTTTAAAAAGTACAATATATCTTATGGTATTCTTGGTCCGATTTGAGTCATTTTTCACGATTAAAATAACGTATCTGGAAAAACGGAGTGAGCGAATAATCTGAAATTTTGCACACAAGCAATTTCTCCATGTCTTCATCAAATGAAATATCAATCTAAGAAGAAAAAATTCCAGTGGTCTCGCCATCTCAAAGAAACTCAGTGGAGTACCTTTTAACGTAGCTTCTGATCAAACATAGTCCGTGTCTACGGTACGGAAAGTAGGTAAACGACTAAGAGAGACGCTAAAACTGGAAAACTAAACGTCCCAGAGTTATGTCGCTCTTTTTAGCTTTTTAAAACATTGTTTCTTTTCCTTACTCTGACAATAACAATTAACTCGAAAGTCCTCTGATTAAAGGTAAAAAATGTACATGTACATATGCTATAGTTTTCAGAAGTACCTTTCATAATGTTAATCATTGAATTAAATTGCAATGCAACCCACAGGGGACTTTCCCACTATATATATAATACATGTATATAAAGATTTAAGAAAATAATGACAGATTTCCCTGTGATGCAACCTGGTATGTGCATTTATTAAAGGCCCATTATGTCTCGCAAATGCTTTTATTGTCTTTCTCATAAAATACATTTTTGGTGTGAAAGTTACTAATTGGCTCAATTACCTGAAAATTCCTTCACTTTTGATGCCTTTTGCCATTTAGTACATTTAGTGATTGTCAAAATACAACTTTGTTTACATTTTGCTTTTTTTATATTCTCACACTCAGAGCTCCCTTCAAGTGATCAACAACCACCATGCTCTAAAATAATTAATTAAAACTAATAAAACTCACTATCACATACCAGTGCCTATTTTACGACTCCGTAAAAATGGTATTGACGTCATTTTCGTTAAGACTCGCTAAATATATTAGCATTATGCCAAAGGAGCGTCAATGAAAACTTCAAACGGTCTTTATTTTTGGTATGTGATAAATAGAATATTAAATTCATGTAAGTTTAATACTAAATTTATTGAACTCGGTGAATAAAATAAAATTATATGCTCGCCAATGGCTCGCATAAAATATTTTTTATTATACTTGCTCACGATCAAGGGTTTTCGTTCCATTGTTTTATAAATTGATCGTATTGTCCTAGAATAAAATGGTATATAAACGAAGTAAAAAAATATGCTGATTTGCACAAAAACAAGTAAAAAAATAAACAAGTATAAAAAATACAAATATCGGATCAAAAAAATTAAGAATCAATTTAAGGATCAGGAACAATTTTTGTATCAACTGTAAAATGCCTATATCTCGTTAAATAACAATAAATTTATTCTAAAAAATTATAAACCGGCTATCTAAAGTCCAATTCTATCAAGTTTATATTAATTCAATGTGGATAAACAATGGAAAATATTTGAGATTCTTCAATTTGATCCTGATTTTGATCCTTAAACCTTAGTGAACATAGGGCCTGTCTCTATAATGATGGCTAACCACTTTCAGTTTCCAGCAGGTGAAGGGCCCAAACCTCCAAAACTTTTTCCGGAATGTAAACCAGGTGAAACGATTGACTCCACTCTTATGACCATTTAACAATGAACAACAGTTAATTTTGTTTGGCCTGCTCAACTAGGCCTTTTATTTAACAAATAATTTCATATAAAATTATGATAAAACAATTCAACAATCTTATTTCAAATGAAACATTATTATATCAGAAAAAGTTTATTTTCAAATTAATAAACATGAGAGCCATAAATCTGTTATGCAACAATTAGATACAATTATTTTATCAATAAACTAATGTAAAAAGGGAGAGTAATCTCCTTTTGTTTGGAAAGTATCAGATAAGCATAGAAGAGTTGTTTCCCCTTGAAAAATAAAACCCTTACATCATACAACAATCTGGGTTTTTTTTTTTAAATATGCCAAACTTGAATATTATGTATTATAAGAAGGCTGAAGTTTGAAGTAAATTAACCAAACATTTAATGTTGTTTACAAGCTGAAGCTCATGTTGATACCTTTTAAAATGTTTAAATAATGGGCAAGTTTTTTTGTACAATGAGAACAATGCCCAGCAATCACACTAGCTTCTTCAGATAAACTAAAAATCTATGTAGTAATAATAGTAGATGTATAAATAATGACTAACTGGATCAGTTAAGGGATCACTTAGCTCCAAAAGAAAACAAGAGCTGTCGGTAGGACAGCAACGCTCGACTATTCTTAGTGCTTGATAGTAAAAAAAAATGCTTGATACAGTTACCTCCACCTGTTTACAGGTTGGGGTAATGATGGTGAACAAGTGTGCAAAGTTTCAAAGCCATATGTCAATGAACTTTGAAAATATTTGAGGTATTACAAAAACTTTAACATAAATTCTAAGTCGAAAAAGGGGCATAATTCTGTCAAAATGCTTGATAGAGTTACCTCCTCCTGTCTACAAGTTGAGGTCATGATGGTGAACAAGTGTGCAAAGTTTCAAAGCCATATGTCAATGGACTTTGAAAATATTTGAACTATTACAAAAACTTTAACATAAGTGGTTACGCCGACGCCGACGCTCGGGTGACTACAATAGCTCTACTTATTCTTATCGAATAGTCGAGCTAAAAAAACATAAAATTTTAATTTCTCAAATAGATCAACTGGGGCACTCAAAACAGAAATATGTACAAAAGTTAAATAAATAATCTACTCAGAAATACATTGAAAATCATATGTTTTTGCCATTCTTTGTCCGATTTGAGTGAAAAGCATTGCAACGCTTTTCAATTTTTGGGTCATTTTTCACAAAAAGATTAGCTTTTTCTGGAAAATTTGATCAAGCTAATAAATGGTCTAAAAGTTTGCACATAAGTTGTTGGTATAGAAGTACATGAAATTAAGTAATAATCACAAAAAATTATTTTCAGTCCCGTTATATCAAAAACAAAACACATTTGAGTCCCTTTCACCAGGAAAAGATATTTGAGCCGCGCCATGACAAAACCAACATAATGGGTTTGCGACCAGCATGGATCCAGACCAGCATGCGCATCCGCACCGTGTATAATCAGGATCCATGCTGTTCGCTTACAAACCCTATAACAAGTAGAGAAACTGATAGCGAACAGCATGGATCCTGATCAGACTGCGCGGATCCATGCTGGTCTTACGACCAGCATGGATCCGCGCAGTCTGATCAGGATCCATGCTGTTGTTTTTGTTATGTTTGTTATGTTGGTTTTGTCATGATGCGGCTCATTTGTATTAGCCATAAGCCAAGCATCAATACAAATGTGGACAAATAATGAGTCAATATGAAATATCACTCATGTTATGTCAATTTTATTCATTTACAACACTGTGTATATATTTCCAAACTTAATGTCAAGGTTTTGTAGTTGATTAATCTATGTAATGATGACAGGAATTACAGCAGCCTCTGTAGAACTTTTACCTCTTTATAACATTCTTTCCTAAACTCTATGTCTATACTCTGCAGAGCAAACACCTCTCTACAACATCATAATTTTTCGCCCAAAGAAAAATATTAAAGTTACCTCTGCAGAACAATCACCTCTCTACAACAACATTATCATTTTTGTCCTAAAGTAAGACTTTACAATAAACCTCTGTAGAGCAGTCACCTCTCTACAACAACATTTTCATTACTTTTTCAAAGTAAGATTTTAAATTAAATGTAACCTCTGCAATCACCTTTTTACAACAACAGTATCATTTCTTTACCAAAACAAAACTTTGCAATAAATGTAACCTCTGACAATGTCTCTTGGCAGCAACCAAAAATTTTGTCTCCGATAAGGGTGGTTGTTTATAATACAGAGAGTGTAATGTACCTACAATTAATATATACTTAATGTCCTATATATCTTTATATAAAAACTATTTTTTCTGCAGCAGTACATCATTTGAAAGAACATAATATAATACACATAATTTAACTACAGGAAAAATGTGTATTCAATATCTCCTGTTGTGTTTCTATGCAGTTAATAGAGGATATTGAATGAGAGTAAGTTCAATACTGAATTTATTGCAAGAGTTGAATAAAATTATATCATGCGAGCCTCTGGCGGGCATAATACTGTTTTATTCAACAAGTTCAATAAATTCAGTTATAAAATTGCACAAATCTAATATTCTATTTATCACATACATGTACCCCCAAAAAGTCACCGCAGTTTTCACTATGTTTGTATTACGCTAATGACGTCACATCAAAATATACGGTTGTGTAATACCATTTTTACGTTATGAAATTGATATTTAATAATCTGATTACATGCCCATTTAATTTTGTTATCGTTCTGATGAAATATTTCTTGGAAACATAAAAAAATATCAAAAATAACAAGCAATTATCAATTTGATAGTAAGTATTGCAAGTAATATTAAAGTCCCCTACCGGAAAGAACCCAAGCAACATTTTGAAGGGTCAAGGCCATTCGATTTAGCCTTTGTGGTAGACATGAATCAACATCAATCTTTGGAGTTCTTTGTTTTAATCTGTATCATGGTAATGTGTTAAGTTTCCATGACTAATGAGGAAACTATGTTAATACAACAGATAATCAAAAGTTCCAATTTTTTTCAGGATGAATATGTATAACTAATGTGCCAACTTTTCTCTATTTAAATTAAATTTGTTCAAAAAGTTCCAAGTTCTTTAATTATAATCTAAGGAACAGTGTGTTTGGATGGCCAGACAGACTGACTGACAGAATGAGGGCAATTTTTTTAATATCCCTGGTTTGTAACCAGAATATAACACTTCAGAAAAAGCAAAATGCTTACACTAAAGAGGAGATACGTTACTTGAAATAAAGATGCTAGAATAGTGAAAACATTATCATACATGATATGAGTGGTGACAAACAACAATTATCTTAAGTCTCAAGTAGATACCATATATAGAATCAAAGATGAAAAGTGAAAAATTTAACAATTTTCAAATATATAAAAGTAAAGTTTATTTCCTGTAACATAGTACTCCGTCCCAAAATACAACATGACATTGCAATGGAAAATACAACATACCATTTAAAATAATAAAGAAGAAAATAAAAAATAAAAATCTAACAATTTTCAAACAAATTCCAATTTCAATATGAAAATTTAAGGATGATAATATAAAGGTGCTAGAATAATGCACCTATGAAGTGGGTAATGATAAGAAAGATATATTCAAAGTTTAAAGTAGATATGCTAAGAAATAAAGAAGTTGATAATTAACATTTTTTTTATGAAAATTGTAAGTGCAAGGGGGGTAAATCTAGTAAATTTGGTACTAGATTTGTGAACCTTGACATGCATAATCTCTGTATGGTCATGATGTCATCTTTTCATATTTTAAGTTTCATAAAAAGGTTTTCAGTACTTTTGAGTGATCACAAATTTTGTTATATTTGCCATATTTTAAGTCTATTTGTTGCAATAGCAACCAAATTTTTTAACATAGAAAGAAAAGAATATCTTCATAATTTCCAGACTGCCATTTACCCATATTTCAAGCATCATTCAAGTATTTTCATTACTGTTTGCATCACCACGGGATCCAGTTTGGTGGACAGATGAACATGCAGAAGGACAGAGGGTATACCCAAGTCACCTCTGGTTAAATCATTAAGGGAATAAAAACAATACTTATGTTTCAAATAAACTTAAAATTACAATGCAAAAATGATGAATTTTTAAAAATGTGTTTAAAAACACCTAACATTTCAAACTTTTTACACTCAGCCCATTTTCTCAATCCATCAAAATGTTTCATTTTTGTATTGGCCCCATTTTGCTTATGATACTGCTGCCCTGTGGTAGAACATAATTTGACACAAAGAGGGTGATCTAATGTCAAGAATGTAATAAAATAATGAATATTTAATTAATCATTTATAAAAACTGCTCCAGTTGATGGTCTTTACCAATCATAAACAATGTCTTAATTGGTTCTTTTTAGCAATTTTTGCAACACTTCAAGAAACATGCTCCTCTACCCGTCCCCCACACGGCACTGCCCAGCACACAACTCTGTATCAATCAGTTGCCATATATATACAATTTTTAATGTCACATTATCAATTCACATGGCGATCCTCTGTCAAATATTTAACAACTTGTTCAGCAAGCATCAGTCCTGTAAAATATAATATTTGATTTATAATTCATAGTGAAAACCATCTTCAATTCAAGAGTTTGAGTCTTTGTCACTAAAGTTATTTTGCTACTTATAGCATTACACAAATATTAATATATCAATCAGCTTATCATTAAACAGAGAAGAAAAAGAATATGTTCATTTTTCAAAGGACATATAAATCATACCATAAATGTATTATCAATATTCATTCAAAAGAAATTATTTTAAGAATTTTCTTTATTAATATTCTTATATAGTTTAAGAAAGACTAAGAAAATGGACAGCATTTCTTAACACACAAAAATGTACAATGTAAAATATATGTTGAAGGAACTCCAAAAGCCTAAAAAGATAAGCTATGAACATCATTTCTTACATAGATGGGCTTAGGTCCTTAAAACAGAAAGATATGCAAAAAATAATTATTAAATAACTCCAAAATATATTGAAAATTGTATTTTATGTGTTATTCATATCCTTATTTCAGTGAAAAGTGTTGTAACGCTTTTCAATTTTGGGTAAATTGGGAAGAAAAAACTGAGCAAATAATCGGAAATTTTGCACAAAAGTTAATGGAATAAACATACATCAAATGAAACATCTATCTTTAAATATTATTTCCTGTCCCATCATGTCAAAAAATCTTAGTGGAGTCCCTTTAAGAATGCTTGATCAATAAATAAAATGGTGGCCTCTGTGCAAATCAAATCTAAGATGGTAAAATATTTAAGGGTTATTTTTTTTCCGCATTATAGTCTGATTTTATTGACCTGTCAATTATAAATACATTATAGGACTCATTTAATTTTCACTCCCACTTCGGTTCGGTTTGTGTAGTTTACGAGAATTAATGCGGAGTATATTAGTCATGGATTTGTAAGTCACGCCAGCTTAATGTGAAGGTTTTCGTAAATTCACAATAGGACAGTCAGTAAAGAGAATGCCTGATAATTGAGAGGTCTGTGGTTCGATCCTTGCAGTTGACATTGTTTTAGTACTCTTTCTTTATTTTTGCAGTATATTTTAATGGAACAGATTTGTAGTGTGTTTTACGGCATTGAAAAGACATTTGAGCCGCGTCATGACAAAACCAACGTAATGAGTATGCGACCAGTATGGATCAAGACCAGCCTACACATCCGCGCAGTCTGATCAGGATCCATGCTTTTCGCTCGCAAACCCTATTACAAGTAGAGAAACTGATAGCAAACAGCATGGATCCTGAACAGACTGCGCGGAAGAGCAGGCTGGTCTGGATCCATGCTGGTCGCAAACGCATTACGTTGGTTTTGTCATGACGCGGCTCATTTATTGATTTTAATCTGTTTTAATTTTAAACATGAATCTTAAATAACATGTTATTTAAAAAGAGTATATACATAACAAAATTAAGTAAAACATAATCAAACAAAACGAACAACATAAAATAATCATATATACATTCAATAATGTTGAAAGTATTAAGAAGAAAAAAACATGGACCAACGCGGCCTAAAACTTAAAACACGTGTGGCACTCGTGATTTACCCTATTGCGCTATAACGCTGAGTACAATTAGTTTAGAGATACAAATTAAATTAAATTCCATCGTACAGCGTACATCTCACGGAACTTACCGAACATCTACCGAAGATTAATATACTGTGTATCGACCGTGTAATCAGTATGTAATTGACAGGTTAATAAAACCAAACAATACCATCTGAATAAACAGAAGGATGCATTTAAAATCCATTCATTGATGATAACTTCGGATGAAACACTTTTTAAGAGCATTTTTAGAGTGGGGCAGACTTTACAATGACACAAAATTTGTGTAGTTCAACTTGTGTCATGCTTTCACACATGCTTTCTATTCCATGAGTAGGGGGTTCCCCAGGATTTTATTTAAAGTGTTATGGGTGAGAGGGGAATGCGCCACCTCCTGCATGTTGAAAAAAAAAATTCATTAGAAGGTTCAGGGAGTTCCCCAGGATTTTATTTAAAGTGTTATACATTTGTAATAGGTGTTGGGGTGAGAGGGGAATGCGCCACCTCCTGCAAATTCATTAGAAGGTTCAATGCTGTTACCAGGCTGTTATTAATTCAAACAAAAAAAAAATATTTTTTCACTGTATAAATAATTATTTGTATCATTTCTTCATCAGTTAGTAGTTTTTTATTTGAAATTCCTTAAGGTAGTCTTACTGTAAATTTCTTTACCACCAAAAAAATTCTACCATCGGCCAATACTGTATCGGTTATTTCCTATTATAAGAGTGAAAAATGTATTTGAATGTATAATTTTGTGAAATAACCAAAAGGAAGCAATTTACACATTATCAATGGCACTTAAAACCCACCGAAATTGCCAAAAAGTGGTCAAAATACAATGTATGCATAAATAGCCCTTACTGCATAAGTAACGCAGTAAAATATAGTTGTAAATACTGAAAAATCAGTCATTAACCGCACATAACATGTAAAATATTACTTGAATCTTGAATCATTATACTTTTCCTAAAGTCGTAGTACATATTTCTCAAGTTTGGTTTTATTGAAATATTTTGTCTCATCTGGAGGCGTGCAGCTTTAAAAGCTGTTACAGGATAGGAAATATAAGCCGCAATCTGCAGTCCCATTCCAAAGTTCTTTAAAACAGAATATACATGAAAAAGAAATAATTATAGATATTTTACTTTTAGGCTCTAAAACACACCTGCATAATATTTTACTTATATCTTTTAACATGATTTTTGCAAACCTAAACCCCTGTAAAATACCGAGAATTTCTGCTCTTAAAGGAAGGATTTTCTATCCTTAGAGCAGCTTGCCTCTAGATTAATGCCAATTTTCATGAAAATGTATTACAAAGTAAAATATTATTAAGTGGACAAAGAGTGCAGACACTTACAATTCATGTAAAAATTACCATAAAAAGGTCAAAATATGCAAAAATAACTCATAATGCTGCAATGTAAGCAAAACAAAAGGAATATGGTGATAATTACAATGAAATCAGTCCTTAATTGCACACATGTAAATTATTACATGAATCTCGATGCTTTTCCTTTTCTAAAAATTGTACTACAACCTTGATTGTCCTAAAATAATTTGACTCATTTGGAGGCATGTAGCTTTAAATACTAATTCAAAAGTAAGAAAAATGCTGATATATATAATTTTCAATATCATTTATAAGAATATAATGTGTCATAATTGATTCCAATTCCAAGATGTTCATGAAAAAGATAACATATACACAAAGATTATTTTCCCACTACAAATTTTAGCCTTGATATTAAATTCACTCACAGAAAAGATGGTTTAAATATGATGGCATTATGTCAAAATACAACTATAATCTAGCTGTCCTTGAAATGAATATAGATCCATCTTTACTGGTAACATTTTCATTTGTAATTAAAGGGACTCCGACTTGATAGGACCAAATTGTTTTTCTCAAAATTTTTGTATAACTAGATGTGTCACTCCATTTCCAGAAATAATTAATTTTATTGTGCAAAATGGTCCAAAAAATGAAAACTGTTGCAACGCTTTTCACTCAAATCAGGCAAAAATCGCATAAAAAATTGATTATCAATTTAATACTGTGTGTTTTTTATATCATCTATTGTTTGGTTTCAAATTTAAGAGTACCAGTTGATGTAAGAAAGAATTTCATAATTGAGTCGTGTCATGACAAAACCAACATAATGGCTTTGCGACCAGCACGGATCCAGACCAGCCTGCACATCCGCGCAGTCTGATCAGGATCCATGCTGTTCGCATACAAACTCTATAACAAGTAGAGAAACCGATAGCGAACAGCATGGATCCTGATCAGACTGCGCGGATGCGCAGGCTGGTCTGGATCCATGCTGGTCGCAGACGCATTATGTTGGTTTTGTCGTGACGCAGCTCAATTTATTATTTAAGGCTATTGGACCTTAGTGGATTTTCTTTAAGGTTAATCATCATTTATATATGGTTGATAGTGAACAAAATATATTGCTTATTTGAACCATTTAAAGTAAAACCTGGAACTTCACTGGGTGCCAAATTTGTATTATCTTTCTGGATTTAACTTTAAGGTAGTCATACTGTAATGCTTACTTGCCCAAATTCTTTTACATTGGCCAATATCGTAATAAATTGGTCATTTCAGGAATGAGATTTTTTCACAGTCTTTGGTATTCAATAATTTTTAACCAGAATTAAGTACATACCGGTAGTGAAGGATGAGTGATTGTTTATAATCTATTGCCGAAGAGTTTGAGAAAATAAAGTTCCGTATTGACAAATGTTAGAATTGTTTTGGTGGGAAAGCATTACCTTAAGACGACAATAACATGTCTTGGTCACATCTTGGAGGTTGATAACCATTAGGAGTTTTCCTGGATAACTAACCAGTTTCTCAACAAACGACCCGACTACTAACCTCAAATGATTTCAGAATCAACAGTGAGAGACAATTAAATGACCAGTTGGCACAGTATCTGAGATCAACAGACTTACTCCGGAATAAAAGAATATTTTGGGTTTTTCCAAGCTAATGAGGGGGTACATTTGCAGAGTTCCAAATAACATTGTCATGGTGAAATTATGCCATGTCAGAGGATTATGAAAATGATGCTCTCCCTAATGAGCTAGGCAAGCAGACGGACTTGGTTTCAACAGAAAAAACATGGTCATGAACATTTGTGGGTCGAATTTATTTATATGCATTTTCAAATGAAATGATTTTGGTGTTTATGTTGATTTGACACATCAAAATTTGTTACAGAAAAACATGTTCAATATTGTTGGCAAAATGATTTAATTTTAATTTTGCTTACATAATAAACTTGTCTTTCTTAAGAGAATCGAATAAATTCACAGCTTTTCCATGCTAACATATTACATTCACTTCAATAACCATGGTCAGATCTACAAATGTAAAAAGAACATAATTATCACAACTTGGTTGTTAATATTTTCACTCTACACATAATGAACACGTTGGGCAAAATGTATCATAGTGTTTAAAATGTAATAAACAATCACAAATACAAGACTATTTTCTCCCCCTCTGCTTTTACCATGGCTTGGGACATGCTAGTAGTTAAAACTGCACACATCTGTGTATTTTTTAATTTTTGAATTCAGGATTTTTTTAAAAATTATTCTTTTTTCAATTCGAGTCAAAATTTGCTTTTTTATGGCAAATTAATAGTATTGATTTACTAATTTTACCCTAATATTAATTAAATATTACACACTGTTGATAAATAAAAACTAAGACATTAAAGGAAACATTGTCTTAATTCTGACTTTGTAAGTTTTCTAAAGAACATTAAATCTAAATATTTTACTAAATCATTTAGACATATAATAAAATATTACACGTTGAAACAATATGAATCTGTGAGTGTGCTGTTTTAAAACTAGGCAGCATTGGGAGAAGTGTTGAGATTGTCAAAACCTTTGAAGCTCTGAAATGTTGAATGGATTTAAGTCAGTCACTGTACGTTGTAGGGTTGGTCACAGTAAGTCGTAGGATTCAGTATCTATTCTAGAAATTCAAAGGTACGGGTGAATTTCCCCCCTCATTAAAAAATAGGTTGTTCAAAAACAAGGGGTGCCAGTAAAAGAGTAATTGTGTAAAAGAATTCAATGTTGTTTTTATCAATTTATATTTTCTTAAAAAATAAAAAGGTAGCTAGATTGGGTTTTTATTCGTACAAACAAATCAGCGACTGCTCATCTAGAATATGTCTGCAGCTATTTTTATCATATTACACATTATTATTAATATTGAGTAATGAGTAAGGGTTAATGTTATGTGTTAAGGTTAGAGTTAGGATTATTGAACATAACTTTTGCTGCAAACAGATTCTAAAAGTGCCGTCACAAACTTTATAGAAAAAGCATACATGTGAACTTTTTACGATGATCAAGTGGGAGATTTTTTTTCAAAAAGAGGGAGATTTTAGAATTTGCAATTAACAAAGAAGAAAGTTTTGATATCAAAAAGAGGGAGATTTCTTTAATTTGTGAAAATACCCCTTATTTTAAGAAAAATCTTTGAAAATATGACTGCAGAAAGTGGGAGTCTCCCGCTTAAAGTGGGAGAGTTCACATGTATGAAAAAGGAGTTGTCAACAAAAAGTATTGATTTAATTTAGCAAACTCCTCCCAATGATTACCTCCCTTGGCAGATTGTAATCACTATACTAACAAGGGGAGATCACTGTGAAGGAGATTGTTTATTTAGTTCACAATTACCTCCCTTTGGCTTCCCCGTGTTCATGTAAACAAAATAAGTTGTCTAGACGTTTATGCTTTTTGAGTGAACTGATGAATTTTGATGAAGAATTTCACACATGGGTTTCCAAAATGTGCGCAATCTTTGAAAAAATAGTGTGAATCTCGCATTAACAAGTCCTAGAATAGACACTGAGGTTTAAGTCACAAGTACACATCTCCCACCATTCAACTGCCGCCAAAGAGCTTCAATAAATGCCTAATGTCTCTATCTGACCAATAACCGGAAAAAGTTTTGGTCTAAGGTTGCATAGGCCTAGTAGTAAAAGTAAATTAGTCAAAAAGCTTCCCCCATCTATAACTATAGGGAAAGCCACGACTGGTTCGTAAAGTCTTGTAAATTGGTCAATATCATGGTCAATGCCATGATAAAAGCTAGTAAGATCAAATGTTTTGATGGAGAGGTTTGTCACAACTGGTATATGTCAATGACCAATGGTCATTACCTACATAATCTTTTCTGGTCAATAAGTGAGGAAAACTTTGTATAGAAAAGAAAGTTTTGAAAAGATCTAGATAAAGTTAGATGAGAATAAAGTAGAAAATATGTCATATATGCACTTCCCCTTCATGGCAGAACTATGATGGGGAGATACAAACAATTAAACAACAATCATGTATATGCCAGGAGACCTGAAATTGACTTTCTACAGAATGTTGATCTGTCTAGAAAGTCAATTACTTTCTTATCTTTTTTCATCTACATTTTCTCGATTTTCTTTTTATATTCATTCGCTTTTCACATATGATGAACTATTTTGCTTTCAAATTATATTTCATTCAACTCTCCTCTAGTCTTTCATTTCATTCAACTCTCTCTAGTTCTTTTCATTTCATTCAACTCTCCTCTAGTTCTTTTCATTTCATTCAACTCTCCTCTAGTTCTTTTCATTTCATTCAACTCTCTAGTTTTTTTCTGCATTTCATTTTCATTCAACTCTCCTTCTAGTTCTTCATTTTCATTCAACTCTCTCTCTATTCTTTTTTTCATTCAACTTCCTCTATTTCTTTTTCATTTCATTCAACTCTCCTCTAGTTCTTTTCATTTCATTCAACTCTCCTCTAGTTCTTTTCATTTCATTCAACTCTCCTCTAGTTCTTTTCATTTCATTCAACTCTTCTAGTTCTTTTCATTTCCTTGACTCAACTATTCAATTGTTTCCATTCAAATTTCCATGTATTCTCTCCCTTTCCATTTATTTTCATTCATTTTTCACTTTCAAATTTCCATTTTTCAAAAATGTCTATTTCTGACCTCTTGCAGTTCCTTCATATCTTTCCTATTTCAAACAACGCTTTTTTTCACTACACTGACTTTTCATGTCCTATTCATATTCTCAAAACTACACAATGTTTTCATTCTCATTTCTTTCCAGGCAATTCACTATATCTTTTTCTATTCATTTCACTAACCACAACATATTATTCATAATGAGATTTATTTATGTCCCTCCCGCCACAATAAATACAATATTTCACCTATTCAATATTTTACCTCTGTTCTGCACTTGCCTCGTCTTTCACAATGCTGAGCAACTAAAAACATTGCAATTCTTACTGCCTTGTCTCTCGTCTTGATAACATGATGGAAAATATCATCTAGTACTTATTTTTTAAAAAGAGAAATGCTAGTTATCATACATTATACATTCCTTACAACTAATATATTCAAATAAATTATTTTAACTGATAAATAATAATGATAATTTGCTAAATTCTTTACTTTTTAAAGTTTAATGAAATAACTATGAAAGGTCGGTGGTTCTTGGTCGACATGAAACAACTTAATACATTTGTAAATCATTGAAACTTTCTTACTATATAATGAAATAATTGTCCCGTCAGATCAACACACACACACACACTACACCATTTTCCGATGAACCATCAGATCTCCTACAAGAAAAATACAGAAGAAATTGTAAATATCAGTATGATTTAATACATGAATAATGACCAACTAGAGTATCAACAATAAGTATAAATGGCATTAATTAGACAAATTATCAAAATAGCCATCCGGTTAGCTCAATAGGCAGTGTTGGACAATGAATCAGGCCCTGGGGTTATAAAACTTTTTTCTGAGTCCTATCTTAAATCTCAGGATTCTCATTGGTCAGTGTACATTCTGTGGGAGTTTCTGACCAATCTGAAACCTGAGATCTGAGTTTGAGCTTAAAGGATTTCTATGTAACCTTGGAACCCTGGAGACATGACTTCGATTCCCTGACACTGCAAGTCACTTTCAATGTGATTGATCATCAAATTCTTCCTATGGTCATTCACACTGTACCGCTGCCTTGGCATAAACAGAAGTTATCAGTTCCTTGTGAAAAATCAGGCAATCAGTACTGGTAAACATGCATGACAGCAATGCAATGGCCGAATTGAGCTCTGGTAAATTTAATGTGGCTTATTGCCTTGATCTGGAGTGAAAACTACCAACCACCAATTTTATCAAAAAAAAGACCGGCATGCTCCGCTTTAAAACGAAAGAAGAAAGGGGGGGGCAAAACTACTTGTCCTTGATAGCAGGCAAGGATTTCAAGTTTATAGCGAATGTGTGATGCTTTTGTTGTTAAATATAAAGAAACTATTTTAAATTTAAAGGGAGACAATTAAGCAAAACTAGTCTGAGTTATCTGTCCATTAAAAATGCATATTAATTTGATTCAGCATTTTTTAAGTGAATAATTATAATTATATGATAGCTTATTGGATATGAATCTTAACAAAAAAAGCTGAACGAGAAATTTTGTCAAAAAAGAGCAAAAAATTGATAGCAAATGGCATGTTATTCTCTATAAATCATATGAGCCGTGTCATGACAAAACCAACGTACTGCGCATCTGCGCAGTCTGATCAGGATCCATTCTGTTCACTAGCAGTTTCTTTATTTGTTATAGGGTCTGTAAGCGAACAGCATGGATCCTGATCAGACTGCGCAGATGCATTCTATTTTGCCATATGTGTAACTGCATTCTACTTTGCCATATGTGTAACTGTGACAAATAGAAGCTGTCATCGATAGAGATGATATCAAAGTAGGCCTATTGTTTATATTTTTGTAGATCAATAATCGATTCATTTGAAAAAATCAATAATTTTGATTAATTGGAAAGGAAATGGAAATAACTAGAGGAGAATCAACTGTCCACAAATTATGAAAATTCACCCAAAGCATGTAAAAAAGGAAGTGGCCATTATTCCAACACTAAGGCGTTCTTACATAATGAATATTATTTCTTAAGTTACCTTTAATAAATTATATCATTCTGTGTATGCACATTCAGTTTGATGAGGTCTAAAATAAAATATTGTTCCCCCTCCCACAATATACCCACCAAAATTACAGCTACCCAAAAAATTTAATTGCCTAGCAATTTTTTTTTTACAGAGGGTGCCAACAAGTGTGTCACATCTTTATTTTAGTCTCCTGTTTTTATAATTGTAATGATAAAGTTTGGATATATGTTGAATAAATATGGTTCTAACCTTTTAACAAATGTTAATTCTTTTATAATTATATAACTTATACCATTTAACTTTGCAAGGAAAATATATTTTGAATATTGATCGACCAACCTTACTAAAACTGCCGTGCGTTCATTACCGAAAACGTTCGCCAACGTTCGCGAACTACACGAGAGTTCTCGTTAGTGAACGATATGCCCGCCACGAGCGTTCTTAGCCAATCGCGAACGCTTTTGTGACATAGCTCGCTTGACAAACCAAAATGGCGACAGGTAAATATTGTGTTCAATTTATTTTACATTTTTTATTTTTTGAGTTTAAATTATGCAAATTTTTTGTGAGTACATGCTTTGGAAATCAATTATTAAGTTAACAGTCTTTGGCGTCTACGTTGATAAAAAAATGACGTGGGAGCTCTAGCTATTATTATGTCCGCGGAAAAACAAGGTTAAGAATAGCTCACGATCACTTTTTAAAAAGTTTAAAGTCGAAAACATTTACAATTTGGTAATATTTTCTCATTGCTATTTTTAATTTAGTTGTGTTATGTAACTAAAATTATTTATTATTAAGTCTGC